TTTAAAAAATACTTTCTTATTTAATTGGCCACAATCATACAAGGATTTTAAGATTGATATAAAAACCCTCTTACCCTTTATGCATAACTCGTGTACCATTCTTTTCATAGAAAGTTGTCTTGTAAATGTTAAATCAACGTAACTAAAAGCATTAACAACTTCAATCTGCTTGTTTTTATAAGTCCATTTTTCAATTTTACATAATGTACCACCATTTTTAAAAACAACTATTTTTGTTTTACTTTCATTTACTTTAAGTTTATATGTATCGCAAAAAAATGACAAAGTATCTAACTGTTTTGTAAACCAGAAACTGTATCTGAAAGGAGAGCAATATCATCTGCAAACATTAAAGATAAAAGTTGTGTCTCAGACGGGTGTAATTGAATTCCTCTTATGCCACTATCATCTAAAATATGTTGTAATTCATCTATATAGAAAGAGAAAAGAATCGGGCTGGCAAAACAACCTTGTTTTAATCCTACTGAACTTAATATGTAATCACTTCTTTCATTATTACATCTAATACATGCTTTAACGGTTCTATACATACTTTGAAAAGCTATATACAATTTTCAACTGACACCCCCATTTCTAAGTACATTCCAAAGAATTTGTCTATTTATGGTATCAAAACATTTATGAAAATCAATGAATGCAACATGTTTAGCATAGATGTTTATGCATTAAGGTGATATATCTATGTAGAAGTGTTCTGTTCTATTATAGATTCCAAAAGTTATAAGTTGGCCAATTACCTGAACCATCGTTTAATTCTGCTTCTCTTTAGCAAAAAGTAGATTTATATTGAGAAAGTATTAATTTTGTATTTAAATTTACAAAGTTATTTTTGTTATCAGCACTTCTTTCGTCAGGTGATAAGTATGTTACATGTTTCTTAAACCTTAATTTACATATTATAAAACTCATCTTTGCACTTTCCAAATAAAATATAGCTTTTCTGTTTTTGAGGCATTATGTGCCCCTTTAAGTTTTTTGAAGATTTAATTTACTCATCTGGAGTGGGATGTGGATGCACTTTAGTACATTTAGATTTTAACATCATCCGGAGGTGTATCGCTATTATAATTTTCAATTTCCATTATCTTTGGACGTGCCTCTTTTTAATTTTTTTAAATGTTAACATCTAGAAGTGTGTCGCTGTAATTATCTTTATTTATTTGATTTAATATCTACAGATAGTCAAACAATGCAATTGTCTTTTAGATCACATCAAGGCGTCAGTTATTTAATGCCTTGATCATAATTAATGATACAATATTTCTATTTTCTATCTAATCTATTTTTCTGTCATAACATATAATAGAATATATTTTTGTTAACAAAAACATATTGTATGACTCAGTTTATCGCAAACAAGTTGCCAAATAACCTTTTAAATGTCGTTTGTAATTGAAATGATAAAAATCTGTAAATAAAAAAAATCATAATCGATGTTACATACTGAACAAGTCATGTATTATTGTAAAAAGGGTACTATATAAATTTATTGTACGGGTATCTTATTAAATCGTTTTTATTTTTAAACCGGATTCCCAAATCAAGTAAAAAGCGCGGCTAAAAATTGAACACATAACATTATATAACGCAGTTTTTTATACATGACAAAATTCTTTTTAACAACAAGTTTTGAATAGGTTAACAACATAATTTTTACAAGAATTTTAGAATTTTATTCTAAAACTTCATATGCAAAATATAACTTAAATAATCATTAAAAATGTATCTTAAGCGACGATGGGAGTTTCATTAAATGGGTAAAATGTAATAAGTAGTCAATAAAAAGAATGCTGGTCCAACATGAAGTGTCTTTAAAGTAGCGACTAAATACACTAATGTAACACGAAACCATTGTAATGTAGCGGAGATAGTATATTTTGATAAGCTGATACAATCAAATTTTGAAATAATCTGATCTTGTGGAAAAACATAAAACCTTTGTCATTTATATTGACATTTTGGAGGTAGGATTCAATTTAAAGTGCATTGATGTATACGAAACCAGTTTTAATATTTCTTAAAGTTAGCTCTTCGCAAAGAGGCGTTGCATATTTTGGACCTTTCATGGAATAAAGCAACACTAGTGCCATAATAGGGACTTCAGAAATGCCCTAACTCACGTTGTTGGAGTTGAAATACAATTAATTTGACCATATAACTACCGCTGCATTATATGATATTCAACGGGACAGATTTAAGATCTGCTATTCGAGGAGGGTAGGACTAATTAACTACTCATATTAACAAACGTCAAGTGGTTGAATGGTGAATAAAATAAACTTTCTATAGAAAAACAATCCTTTAATTATTTTACAAGACCTACTCATTGCTATGCATGAACTGTTATTTTTGCATAGACACTGCGCATTAAGCTATACATAAACCGAGAAGATAACGTGCATACAAGTTGCACATTTTTAAAATGCGCGACTCAGGGCACAATGTAAAAAAGCTCAATGCAATGATACTCTCAAATTACATCACACTCGTACGTAAAAATCATGACGAACGTGGTTTGTTAACGCTCAAAGCAAACAAATGTAATGCGAAATAAACAAGTCAGAATTAATTACTAACTAAAGTATAAAAACTAGTTTTGTTACGGTTTTCAAAACCGCTTCTGAATACGTAGCAAATCGACATTTCTTCAGTTAGTTTGCTTTATCTATAGATATATACGTAAATTTTACGTACCAATTTTTTTTCAAGACGCCAAGTCATGTACTCATCTCATTCGCGAAGACATTTCTATAGAAAAAAAACAGTGGGAATGTTCCGAAAATCAATATGCTCTGATATCGACTTATTATGCTTTTAAATTAATGAACAGCTTAAAGTGATGTTATGCTCTTCTTTCACTGACAAATTGAGTAAAATTAATATTTGATATTATATTTCAAGAGATGGACTATTAGAATGGTTATTGGCCAATAATATGTAATATTTGTAATGTTTAATGTTAAATATTTAAAAGAATCTAAATCATAAAAATACTGTCCCACTCTTTTTAGAATTTGAATACTGTCGCTATATTCCAATCAATATCTATAAAAATGTCCATGGGTCACACAGATTATTGTCCTTTTTGCATAGTAAAATATAAAATCATTAACAATTTTCGGAAAAATGTAACTTAATTTGACATTAATTGTGCATTCAGCATTTAGACATGGATAGGCATATTGCCACTTTAAGTGAATACGCCTTCAAATGGCGCATTATCAATAAATATGTCAAATATTGATAAAGAAATAATTACAGAAATGTATCATTTTGAAATTCTTAAGAATATATTTCTCAGCGAAACAATGTTGATTTAGGTCTAAGTAATTTTCTTAATCAATAATATAAATTTTGTAGTCCTGTTGTCGGTATATGTAGTTCAAACTTTATCTCATTAGTTGAAAGACAATGTTTTAAATGCAAAATAACCAGATTTATTTTTCATGCTTAGAAAGGACAAAAATGTTTCTCATAATTGCAAAAAAAAAACAACAAAAACATTTTACAAAAGACTGTTCAGTATAAGGCGAACGGGTTACTTTTATTTTAAAACTGTAACAGTACTCCAACATTATAAACATTGTAATGAAATTTATTTGGAAGAAGACTTTATGTTTCCAATATATCGAAAAGAGCATGCGCGATGTGTTAATCATGATATTTAATATTTGTTAAGTACTTCATATAAATCGCTGAGATATCGAAAAATGTATTATAAATCGTAAACTCTCCTTGCAGTTTTACATCTATTATCACTATCTATGATGGCATTTTAAAACAGAATGAAAATAATAATTATCAATTTAATTAAATAAAGGGGATATTTGTTTGTTTGTGTGCAAGATGAAGAATACTGTTTTTATAGTTCACGAGATGAAATAAAATTACATCTTACACAACAAACAGACAAAACATTTTCTTTTTATTTTATGATTAAAAACAAGTTAAAACGAAATTTCCTTGATACAATGTATTCACTTTAATATTAAAATCTGTTTTCCCTACTGGTAGCTTCTATCAATCGAATTTCTCATTAAATACAAGACGTATTTGGCTGAAAAATAAGTTCAACAATCAACGTTAAATGGCGATGATATTATTCATTTTAGAGATTGCTTGTTTTAATAAAAAAAAACACACAAAAAACCAACAATTCTCGTAGGAGGAAAAGTCAAACCATTCATCCATCCATATTTCTGTTACTTACGGCGAATTTATATTAGACCTTCTTCTGTGAAATGTAAGCGGTCGCCATTTTTTAAAGTTGTGTATTTTACGGGAGGAAAATAATTGTGTTTGATTCAGAGGGTTGTCATTTGGATTTGTTAGTCATACACTTTTTAAAAGAAAGACAACTTATTTTATTTGAGGTTGTTACAGACGATAAATAAGTGTTGACAGATGTGTAAACATTCAAAAAGCGGCTAGAAAATTGGGAAACATAGAATTTTTGAAAGGCTGCCTTACGAACGCTGGGATGTTTACGTATTATTTTGGCTGATGTCTGTTATTGCTTTTCAACTTATTAAGCAGTAATTGCTCGTAGGATACTTAGATATGCCCAAATGTCATCAAGAGCAGTTTTGCATGTGGAAGGGATTGTATTTTTCAGGCTGTAAAATTGAAACAAAATTTAAAGACGATATTTGGTGATTGGTAATTTGAATGAATTGAAGTTAGTTTTCTTCTTTTTATTACTTTTGAAATTTAAGTTATTTATCAATTTCAGCTTTGCTTTTCTCTAAACAGCCCTGATAATGTCAGAATTGTCAACAATAATAATAGAAGTAAGATACCACATGGGGAAAATCTTAAAGAAGTAGTCTGATCATTGAAAAGTGTGAAATTATATTTTGATAATTTTCACTGTGAAATTATCAAATACAGTTTTCATAGATAAATCAGTAATCAACTGAAAAGCATAAAATTAAACTTACAAACAAGAAAAGAAAAAGAAACACAACAAAACTACATACCAAAACGTATGTGGAAGTTTTATTTCACAAAGCGAACCATTTCTTTCACTAATTTACACTATTTTTTCATTTTTTCTAGCCATTAAAAATGTTCACTTTAATCATGTAATTAAAAGACCTGTACAGAGTCCATTGGGAAATAAAACGTAATAAGAAATGGTAAAACCCCCATTTCACTCCAAATCCATGTACAAGAAGTTCTTAAAATAGTTCATCATAAATTAAACTTATTTTATTTTATTTTTCTTCAGTGTTAGCAATTAAATATAAACATAAATATCTGGCCCAACGCCTAACTGTTGGTTCAGAATTTGGCATGATTTCACAAGAATTCCAATTGTAATTTGAAAAAAAAAACAAACAAAAAACACTGTTAACATCAAAAACAATTATGGGTATATTACATTTAACCTATAAGGTTGAATAAAAGTCTTTGATTTAAGTTTATCTGAAAGCATGTTGGTTTTGAAATATGAATACAGAATGTAAACAAATTGAATCTAAACTTAGTCAAACCGTTGATAATGGTAAAACTAGAACTATGAAGGGGTAGCAGTTTAAGTGGCTCTATTTAGAACGAGCCCTTACATAATTTGTTTGTTGTTATGGCTTTTTATAAATTCATTAATTTATAAATTCATCCAAGTCATGTCGTCTCTATTTCGTATATCTTTCTTGTTGCCATGGATTCTTGATGTGTACAGAAATCAATCATTAAATCAATCAATCAATCAATCATTCAATCAATCAAACTAACGAACAATAATTTTTGGTAGTCAAGAATTGTCTTAACTAGCTCTACTCCGTTTTAGTATGCCAAACTTATCATTTAGAAATTTAAATATATAATGCTTCCGCACCAGTTTTAAATCAGTGCTAAATTTCAACTTAAACTTAATAGTAATACATCGATTTTGTTAACGTGATTTATAGATTCCATTAAACGATTAAGGTAGTAGTTTTGAAAGGCAATATATCCATGTCTATGGAACGCCGTGACTGTCTTATGTAATCAATGTTTTTGTTATCTTGTGAAACAATGATATTATATTGTCGTTTGAGCATGTTAACATGTGCAATTTACATCATGTCTTGTCAAAGGAACATGCTGACTTGTGCAAACAGCATGTTAACTTGTCAAATTATTATGATGACATGTGGAGACAACATGCTAACTTGTCAAAGTATCGTGATGACTTGTGCAAATGACATGGTAACTTGTCGAATTATAGTGATGACATGTGCAAACAGCATGTTAACTTGTCAAAGTGTCATGATGACTTGTGCAAACGCCATGTTAACTTGTCAAAGTATAATGATGACTTGTGCAAACGACATGTTAACTTGTCGAATTATCGTGATGACATGTGCAAACAGCATGTGAACTTGTCAAAGTATCATGATGACTTGTGCAAACGCCATGTTAACTTGTCAAAATGTAATGATGACTTGTGCAAACGACATGTTAACTTGTCGAATTATTGTGATGACATGTGCAAACAGCATGTTAACTTGTCAAAGTGTCATGATGACTTGTGCAAACGCCATGTTAACTTGTCAAAGTATAATGATGACTTGTGCAAACGACATGTTAACTTGTCGAATTATCGTGATGACATGTGCAAACAACATGTGAACATGTCAAAGTATCATGATGACTTGTGCAAACAGCATGTTAACATGTCAAATTACCATGATGACTTGTGAAGACAACATGTGAACTTGTCAAAGAATGGAATTGTGATGACTTGTGCAAATGACTTGTTTTTTTTGTATCATGCTGACATGTCAAAACGTACTGTTAACTTGTCAAAGTATTATGATAACTTGTGCAAATGCCATGCTAACATGTCAAAATTCCATGATGACATGTGTTAACAGCAGTTTAACTTGTCGAATTATCGTTATGACATGTGCATACAGCATGTTGACTTGTCCAAGTATCATGATGACTTGTGCAAACGACATGTTAACTTGTCCAAGTATAATGATGACTTGTGCAAATGCCATGCTAACTTGTCAAAATTTCATGATGACATGTGCAAACAGTATGTTAACTTGTCAAATCATCGTGATAACATGTGCAAACAACATGCTAACTTGTCTAAGTATCATGGTGACTTGCGAAAGCGATATGTTAACTTGTCAAAATTTCATGATTACTTGTGCAAACAGCATGTTAACTTGTCAAGGTATCGTGATGACTTGTGCAAACTCCATTCTAACTTGTCAATGTATCATGATGACTTGTGCAAATGCCATGTTATCTTGTCAAATTATCATGATGACTTGTGCAGACAACATGTTAATTTGTCAAAGAACCGTGAAGATTGCACTTGTTAATATGCTTAAATGACTCGATAATATCATCTCATCACAAGATATCAAAAACATTGATAGCATAAGACAGTCACGGCGTTCCATACATGTCTTAATTGGTGCATAGCTTAGTGAAATTAAACCGATTTTTGAGACGGAATAAATGTGATTATCGAAATTTATCATACTTCACAAGATATCAAAAACATTGATAGCATAAGACAGTCACGGCGTTCCATGCATGTCTTAATTGGTGCATAGCTTGGTAAAATTAAACCGATTTTGAGACGGAATAAATGTGATTATCGAAATTTATCATACTTGATACTCGATACTACTGACTGTGTAAAGTTTAGCAACTGCTTAGTTTATTAAAATAAAAGTACTTGTGAAATTTTGAAATAGTAAGCATGATACTGTTGAATTTGTACTCGATCATTTTAGTTGGGTTATTCAAGCTATGAAATTATTCAATAAAGCTTCTTTGGTTCTACAAATTGGCGCAACGCCTAACTATACGTATAATTACAATGAGCAATAGGACCAATAAATAAGCCGTGTCACGACAAAACCAACGTAATGCGTTTGCTACCAGCATGGATCCAGACCAGCCTGTGCATCCGCATCACTTTAAACAACAATATATTTGCATTTACTGCTTTTATTCAAACATTGCCCAATTTCTTCTTTGACATGTAAGTTGTCTTCTTTGACATGCATCAATTTCCTTGTTGATCTTGTTTATCATATTTTAGACTGCAAGTATCATTTACATTGTCTAAAATTGCCCCTTCAATTACTATTACTGTTCATTCTGCCAAGCATTGTTTTCAATTTCATCACACATATAAAAGATGTGAACAAATGAAGTGTCAAACAGCAAAATGTTTAAACTATTTTTCTTCTGTCAGTCCTTTGTCACTTGTTCGAGTACTGATTTTTTTCAGTTTGACGTTGGAATTGTCTTAATATTAAAACATAGCAGTTGCAGCTAGTGCATTGTTTAATGTAGTGACATACGGAATTTTGTTTTTACTTCATCTTCTTTTCAGGTACCTTCCAGCTATTTGGTTTAGATAAGACTAAAAAGTGACGACGTTGTGATCTCAATGAAAACAATTTAGCATCACAAGGCCTTTACAAATTGGTGGCGGTGTGATCGAGTGGATAATGTGTCGGACTAGTTATACATGGATTTTGTCACCAAAAAGAAGACACTAATTTAGTACTTGTTGATCGAGAGTGTGTCTATAAGCATATACATTGTAGTTCGTAATCAAACTGAAATAATCTCTGTATTTATACTAAGGTCGTTACAGATTGAAATCTTATTAATTCTCAAAGGCGCATTATCCCTCAGAAATCCATATCTTTTACCTCTTTAGAAATGTCAAAAATGTGACAAATGTATAAAAAGCATGTTAGATGTTTAACAACTGAAAACGTAAATGCTTAACATGAGGCTATGTACCGTAAAGGCAGGAAAATGTAATCAATTAAATATTTTGACTCCTTACAGAATACTTATTATCTACATTTATACCAATTGTAAAAAATATGCAGTTTTTAAGAAATAAAAATGTCACTATTTCTAAGGCAAAATGGGCTTTTAATCTGCTTAACTTGAGAAATGTTTAGTTTTTTTAATCCCCATAAACTGTAAGTTAATTCAAAGCAGGGCAAACCCATTTCACACATTCACCAGGTTAAAGGTAAGTTCATGCTGAAAGCCATTGGGTATATTACAAAGAAAACGGAATCCTTTGAATGACGTCATAAAAAATCTACTTGTTATAAAGAAACGAAAGTCAATCAATAGATTGGCTGGTATTTTGATTAGGTTGGTCGGTTTCTTGGTTATACAAGCTGGTCTAGAACACGCACTAATTTTGATTACGTGTACATGTATTACTTATTTGTAACTCGCTTGCTAGTTTAAAACATAATTTTGCTTATATCATTTCATTTACAACTACATCATGATAACAGCATATTTACAGTAATTGTCATATGGTAAATTACTGGCTTTTGTGATAAAGGGAGGCAATGAACAAATCTTTGTTGTAAAACGAGCATTAGTCATTAAAGAAGACGGATAGCTATGTAACTTCGCATATGGATCTTAACGTATGACGCTCTCCTAAATGCTTTATTTGCCGGCAATTCATTACTTGATTAGGACTCAAATTCGTGTAAAAAAGAGATCTAAGAGTCAAGGCGTCTATATGTCTTATTTGTATCAAACAAAGGTATAACAAGTAAAATGGTTTCGTGCGGGGAACATTTTTAATGATTTAAAGATATTTCATTTAACTATTTTCAACATTGTTTGGAGGGAAAATTAAAAGAAAATTAACGTTTGTATCAGGAATATAGTTGACAATAATCGATCAATAGAAGAAGGTCTTTGGCCTTTGTCGAAAATAAAACAATATGTCTGTTTAAGAAAATGATTAAATACCATTGTATGAATAATTCCTTGCAAAAAATAATAAAATAAAGTAAACACACAAGTTTACGCAGACAATATCTTTATTTATTATGGCAGATGCCACAAACGAATGTTTTAATTCTGTGGATTTTCACTATAAACAATTTATTGTTTGTAAAATTTCAGATAGATATTAAAGAAACATTGATAATTTTCAAACACATCATGCAAGTTTTTCCATCTTAAACGGTAAAATAATAATAGAAAATTAGAAATATCACGAAATTAGAAATTATTAGAAATATAGTGTTATGTTCTTAATTAGGTGTAATTCGGACTAATTCCCTAGCATTGTGTACATCGGTTCATTTGAGAGACCGGTGTGTATACAATGATTCCCTAGAGGTAAATCCGTAACGTACCGGGAAACGGTATTTAGCTAGGTTTTCGAATAGGTCAATTAACCAATCATGTACGGTTTACAGATCACATGCTCCTCCATGTACCGAAAACAGGTCACGTGCTCCTCCATGCCTCAAAAATTAAACGCGTACCAATACCCTGCGGGCTCCGGCCCGCAGGGAATAATAATAATAATAATAATAATAATAATAATGAAAAAAACTTTCAATTACCTTCCATGAACAGTCTCAATCAAACAGCGTTGGTAACATTTCAATTTTGTCGCTTTGTGCGTTTTTTAGGGATTTTAACCTGCTGATTGTTTTCATTTTTATTTTAAATGTTTCAATAAAACGATGTAGTTGTTTTGAAAGAATATACATGCATTGTATATATTTTAAAGCAGATAACGTATCTTGGTGACTTATTATTCCTTTCAATATATAGGAACTATACTGAACTAAAAAGGCTGACTATGACACAAAGATCAAGTAGAGCGATCATTAATATGACCACTTATTATAATATAAACAATGCGTATTGTTTGAATGCGTTAATGAGATTATTTGAGATATAAGAATAAGAACATCCTTAAACCAATTCACGCTTTCCTATAATTAAGAAGAATGATCAAAGTGTTTAAGGCATGAAAAGAAATATTAGATTATGTCCAGTATCAAACACTTTTGGGAATTTTAAAAAAGAATTAGTTGATGTATTTTCAGAATCTTGCTTAAATGAATTAAACGAATTGACATTTAACAGCTAAAATCCCCTTTGTGACTGATGAATTGCCTTAAAGTGATTATGCATCAAAATGGCAGCACCGTTTATCCCGCGTGATCGTAAGAGGCGACCAAATGGGTTCATGTTACTGAAGCCTATGTATCTCTTTGCTGCAACAGGTGAGGTGGTTTGGACCGCTGGTGTTGCTTTAAGTTTATAACACCGGAGGTAAGCCAAATTTATCTTCCCTGTTTCGGCGCCACATGACCTAAATTGTTTAAGTGTCCGTAAAGCTAAACAAAACAACAAACAAGTGGACCTAAGAACAGTAATATATATATATATATATATATATATATATATATATATATATATATATATATATATATATATATATATATATATATATATATATATATAAAACATAGCCCTCAAACACTCCATTTCTCAAGGTTCTTCTATAAAATCGCTTAAGGTCCATTGTTCTTTCCACAAAGCATTGAAACGAAGGCCAGAACTGTTAAATTAGTGAAACAATTATACGCAAAAGAACGCAAAGAAGACGTCAAAAATTAAACGTTAATGTAAATATTTGATTACAATTATCTAATAAATGTATGCATATCTATTATAATAAGCGCATTTAACTTAATGATTTATGTAAGACTATATAAGTACATATTTGTTTACATTGAAAATAGACTAAGAAACATAAACTATTAGCCTTTATTTATCTAAAGTGGTACTTTGACTTAACTTGTTGTCTCAATTATAGTCTGGGTTAATGTGTTGAAATTGTGACATTCACATTTATGCCAGATAAGGATTGTATTTATCATAACTTGTAGGCATATGAATTTCATTTACGTTCTAATTTTTGTTTTCACTTATTTATTATCATTGTAATGAGTAATCAAGTTTCCAAGAAAGGAATTAGTAGTATTTTAATATTAAAATATAGTTTACTATAAAATAGGCTAACCCAAAGTTGAAGCAGGTGAATCACTAACAATTAACCATGTTGCAAGTCGAAACTTTTTTTTAATTATATAGAGGATATTAAATGAGTGTAAGTTTAATACTGAATTTATTGCACGAGTTGAATAATATTATTTTATTCAACAAGTGCAATAAATTCAGTAATGAACTTACACGAATTTAATATTCTATTTATCACATACCCAAAATAAAGACCGTTTTAAGTGAAATAATAGTCATTTTTCATTTTCATTGCGTCGCCTATAGTATAACGCTCACATTTAGCGCGTCTTTACACTATGTTTGTATAACGCTAATGACGTCACGTCAAAATATATGCACGGCCGTGCAATACCATATTTACGGAGTCGCAAAATCGGCACGGGTGTGTGATAAATAATTTTATGATGATATCAAATATAATTTACAATACGAACTAATTGGAATATAATTTATTTTAAATTTTGCAATTTTAAATCACTTTTGCAGTAGAAGCTTAACGATCTGAAAGGTGTTGTCAACTATGAAAACTGGACACATAGTAATCCTGCAGCTATGCTTTATTGTTGTGCCGTGTTCCAGTCAAAGTCGTACGATGCTAGAACGACATCTGAGAGTGATAGCTAAGGTGAAAAATCATTTTCTGTAACTTAGTTTTAATATTAAGACTTAATATAATACTTATTTAGATATGCAAGTAACAAAAATGTTTTGCGTGACAAAGAAGTCCATATACGTATATATTTAATTGTTTTAATATGTTTCAGTATTGTTCTATTTTTTCTGGTCCATTCCGAACAAGCATTTTTGAACTAATCTTTAGGGTATTCTCTCTATACACTGGTATAGAGCGATTTCGACGGTACTACGGGTTTCGAACCGGCAACCGCGAAGGCAAGATTTGATTTTGGATTTAAACAAAAGTCATAATGAGAGAGGTCAGGACTATAAGCTGAATTTAGCAAACCTCAAGTCTCTGCACCACGAGTGTATTGTCTGGCTCAAAAAAAAATATAAAAAAATAAAGCAACGTTTTATCCTCTGTGACCATTTTTCTCAGACGTCTAGGGTTTCGATCTTTAAACCTTTACAATGAGGCAGTACTAATTTCGGGATCATTCCTAACGTTAGTTTTACCTTCCTTTAATATCTACACCCACAGGCGCTTGTACGACACGGAAGTAAATTTTCTCCATTAAGTAAATCCAGGTCCGTTTTTATTTCTGACGTGCATTTACCAAATACCCCACAAATATTTCAATAAGCTTTTTGCTCATCACTCAGAAGAAAATCAGCTATGTTTACGACCAGTATATACTTAACAAACAACATGCATTTTAATAACCTGCTAAAAATTATTGCACGTGTAAATCATGCAAAAATATAAAACTGATAAGAAAAGTCATTAATCTTTCCAACGGTGTATCATAATTATATTTTCTTTCACGTGCGAATCATTGTTAAATTGAGTTGTTGCCACTAATTTAAATATGTTCGTATTAATGTTTTATTGCTTTCGAGGAAAGGGCCACCTTTCTTTTTATTCTTTTTATACATTGAGAAGTATTTGAGGGCAACAACTTCTTTTCAAAAATCTTATTGCTGTTATAATTTTGTCAACATTACATTTTATACATACGTTGGCTTTCCAGAGAGCCTGTAATATATTCAGTTGTACTATTGGATGGACCCCCGGAATACACCGGTATATGGATCTGTATAAGAATGAACTTAAACACGACAAAGTCATGTTAATCAAATTGAGGTAATTGTACAATTATGTTGATCTGTCGGTCATTATCAGGCCGTAACATTTGCTGTTATATTTCATTTGCAGGATATTGCAGTAATGAAAGAAAGTATTAAAGATAATGACCAAGGTATCAAGCAACTAGCTGAGATCATGCACGGAATGACAAATAATACGGAATCAAGAATAAATGAACTTGCCGATATGCTTCACAAGATCTTATCAATAGTTATGAATACAGATGTTTGGACTACGCAAAATAACGGCCTGCTTATCTCAGGTATTAGAGATTCGTTTGTCGTAATGACAAAATTAATCGAATCAAAAATGTTTAGACTTGAAGATATGCTTCGCAAGTTCTTAAAAGTAAAAGTAAGGAAAACATATGTTTCGACTACGCAACCTAGCGACGTGAATATCTCAGATTTAGTCACTAAGTCAGATATTGAAATAATGTTTACAGAATTAAGAGAGTTTAAAGTAAGGTCTTTGTCTTCGCTATCTGACAAATTTCATAAATTCGAAAAAACGTTTAGTGAGAAGCTAGATATGATGATGAATAATACTTGTATGTATTTCGATAATTGTGAGGCCCCAAAAAAAGTTGAACTAACTGAAAATTTGAAATTGCTCAAAGAAATGTTGGCAAAAGGTGATGAGAAAGAAACACCAGAAACGTCAGTGGAATACGGTCAAATTCTGATGAAGTCTGACACAATATTGAAGGAAGTTACCAAAGGTCATTCTATGATATCAGATAGTCTGTCAGCTATTACATCTCGACAAACAGATTTAAACAACACGATCGCTGGAAGCTGTTACAACATTGTCTTTGCGGGCAATAAATGTTGTAATATAAGTGCACAACCAGGTAATATGGGGGAATTAAGAATATCCATTTTCTATGCAGCGAATTAGGGTTTTTAATAAACTATTTTTCTTCACTTAGTCCTTTTCACACTGTTGTACAGCGTCCACCGGATATAGCCCCTAAAAACACCGAAAACGAAAGAAGAAAGCTGCACAACGAGTAAACCCAAGGTAATGTTTGAACTTATACAATGTACTTTCATCATAACTTCATCGATTTTTCCAAACTAAACAATATTGTGAAGCTAAATACGTATGTCTAGTTTTAGGTCAGTGTTTGCCATTGCCTGTAAATAAAATACTTTTTGTTAAATTGGTGATAAAATGTAGCGTATTTGTTGACATTTGCAAACGATGTTGATATTTACCACTAAATCAAGCAAAAAACGCATTTGCTGTATCAAATTCCGCCGTTAATACAAACTACAGTCATCCCTCTACTTATATTTGAGTTTTCACCCTTCAACTCGAGCTGCTTTTAACAAAATTTGCGAAAAACTGTCTTGCCTTGTGTACAGAGTCTAGCACGGATGTGTACGGGGTGTAGATGGAAAGCTGATAGCGATTGTACGGGGTGTAGTAGAAAAAAGAATGTCATTTTCTGCAAAATATATTCAGTACCAGAGCATATACACGTGCGCTGATGAAGAAAACGATTTATGTCGGGATCAGGGATTGTGAAGTGAATGATTTTATTTTTATTAAGGATAAAAATGTTTAATTAAATTGTCAACATGTTACGCGACATGTATATTAATTGCAGTAAACAGTTTCCGTCCTGCTATACCACTTTTTATGCGTGACTTTAAGTTAATAGGGTAAATGTAAACTCAAAAGACCACAATTTCATTCCATATTTAGTAGAACATAATAAACAGAAAATTCTATAATTTGTCTTAAACAATTTCAAACCATGTTCGTCTTATACATTGTGAACTAAACTTGATCGAAACATGTTATATTTGTTTATTATGTCACCGGTCTTAAGACTTCATTGAAAAACAAACATTTGTTAATGAGCTTTGGTAAAATATCCGCTTTGATTAGTTAGGTTAATCATTAGATTTGTCTTTGTGGAAATACTATATTACTCACATGTGATTTCGATATTCAGTTTAATAAATACAGTGCTGCCGCTTATATGCTGCTGTTTTTTTTCTGAAAATGATTATGATGACACCTCAATGATGACGATGATGAAAATGATGGTATGTTATGTTTTCATTTCAACATTGCAATACAAATGTACAGAGTATGAAGAGAGATATGAAAAATTTAAAGAGTCTATTCGGCATCTTCTAAGCCGACTAATAGCTTATATAAGGCGGCTAAAACCGTTTTATAGAAGACAGTGTTAATACCGTTTTGTAGAAAATGACAGTCCTGCATAATCTTTTAATCGATTTTCGACCTCCTACCTTATGTGTAGGTTAGTTATACATGTATATATATAAATATATCCCCATTCGGCTCATCTCCATTCGGCGAGTTGGTTAGAAGACTCCTCAACATGTCTTATAAATAACGACAGACACTATTCAGCTGATGGTTGTGATGGTATGACAATAAAAATTAAACGCAGCTATACTGTTAGGCTCAAAACACTTAAAACATAAATCATTTACCAAATACCTCTGTATCGTCCTCTAACCTATCCATGTTTAGTCTGATATGAGATAATTTTCAATTAAAAATAATAAAAAAGACTATACTTTATAAATATGTGACTGCTAGACACCGTACACATCTACTAAACCCTGTACATTAAACTACTACACCCCGTTCACTTAAGTTTGTTTTCTTTGCTAGACTGTACACAAGGCAAGGCAAATTTTTGCGAATTTTGTTAAAAGCAGCTCGAGTTGAAGGGTGTAAACTCAAATATAAGTAGAAGGATGACTATAATTTGTGTAAAACGGCGAATTTGTTACAACAAATGCGTTTTGGGTTTGATTTAGTGGTGAATATCAACATCGTTCGCACATGTCAACAAATACGCTACACTTTTTCGCCAAGTTAACAAAAAGTATTCAATGTCCAGACAAAAGCAAATATTGCTCTAAATTCAGAATCATTAAGCTTCACAAAATTGTTTAGTTTGGAAAAATCTATGAAGTTATGATGAAGAAATAAGTTAAAACATTACCTTGGGTGTACTCGTTGTGCAGCTTTCTACTTTCGTTTTCGGTGTTTTTAGGGGCTATATCCGGTGAACGCTGTACAACAGTGTTTCAAATATGTATTAAAACGTTTGTTTAATTCATTATTTTCTTTTCACTTTTTCAACTTAGTCTGGTAAAATTATACAAAACATATCGTTTAGTTATATGTTCGTTGTAACTTCATATTTAAATATTGAACATATTCTTGTTATCACTGAAGACTCAATATTTCTTTTTCAGTCACGACGTTGGTGTTTTTGTTGATTGCGAAGAGTTTATGGGGCATATGAGACATCCGTTATGTTTGAAAAAAAAAACCGGACAAACAAAATCGAAAACAAGCTCAGTGAAAAAGAACTTATTGAATATTAATATAATGTGAATTGTTGTGTTTTGATCAGGTTTTGAATATTATTGTTATAATTTATATATTTATAGGGACGTTTATTTCCATTCATATTCTGTAGCTTGTTAAATATCCTATTAATAGACCAGGCCCGGCTTTCACTAACGTTCTCAGAGTTTTAATCACAGCTCAAATCTAAGATTTTTCTAAACCCAGAAATTGAGATTGAGATTTTTCTCTGTTTGGCTTTCACTAAAAAATGTTGAGAAGAATCTCAACTTAATATTTGAGATTTTTCTCAGATATATTGAGACAAGGTTTGGCTGTCTCAGATTATGTCTCAGAGAAGCTAAACTATTATCATTATCAGGAGTATTTTTACTTTCTACATGGTTGAAAAGTTAACACAATTTGACCCTTTTTTGGCAAAAAAAGAATCGAATCTTTTTCTGCTGTGTTAGTTGCTTAGGAATAATTCAGTCCATTTCACCAATAATTAACTGTATACTGTAGCTTTCCTTTCTAGAATAGCATTTAATAATTTCTTTGATTTCTTTAACAATGTCAAACATTATTTTATATATTCTGCTAAATTTGCATGAACAAAATACATAGTCTAGGTAAAGATTCTATTATTACATAGTACATATATATAGTACATAGTAATACATAGACTCAGTGTTGTAACAATGTCAAGGTCACAATCAATGCTTCATTAAAGGAACGTCGCTGAACGCCAAAAGCCTTAAACATAAACATTAGATTGAATTCCTTACATAGTTCAGCTGGGGAAGTTAAAAACGAAAAATCTTCAAAGGATAATCAAGAAATATAAGCAGAAATATATTGAAAATCGTATTTTAGTGCAATTCTTAGTCCGATTTGAATGAAAAGCATTGCAACGTTTTCCTCTTTTTTGTATCATTTTTACAATTAAAATAATATTATCCGACTCTTTGAAACAACATGTCAAAAGAATCTCAGTGGTGACCCTTTTAGACGGTTTGAAATACTTTATACTATTGCCGTTAAATAAACTCAACTGGGATAACTTTATTTCAGTTAAAAAGGCCTCTGGCCGAAACACATTAATAAAGGTTCACAATGATATGCATATATACGTAATAAATGTAGTTGTAAATACAATAGATTAGAATAAAAATTTATATTCAAGAGTTCGTACTTTTAAACGAGTGAAACACAATTATAGAATAATTTAAAATGGTTTCATGATTTTCATTACTTTGTGAGTTCATCAGCGAATAAATTTCATTCATTTTTTTTCTTATAAAACTTTAAGGCTTTTATTAACTGCCGTGACAGAATCAACAAATCAACTTTCCCATATCTGACACCCAAAACAAGAATAGGTTTAACAACATTATCAAACAGAATGAAGAGTTCATTGGTCGAAAAATAGCCATAAACTTCTTAAAACTATACACAGAAAGTATTGCTGGTTCGGCGTGAGTACATTATTCGTTCTGTGCTGCACTATATGATAGCCCAGGCGTAAATAAAGGTCCCATATATCTGTATACGGGTGTAAACCCGATTGTTTAAACTCAGAAATTCAAACTGTCTGAGAGGTCCTCCATCACTAAAAACCATTATCTCAGTTTTATTTAGATTTACTATCTGTCCCAGTATTTTATAAAATTCATCGACAACATTAAGTTGATGTTATCCTACTGCTGTTTTGAACACAACTTACTATATCATCAGCACAGACATCGTGAATTTCTTGCGTTATAAGTTTCTCAGAATTGTATATATCGTGAGGCAATATTCGTCAATATAAAGAGCAAAACTGTCTCATTGTCGGGTTCCTATATTACATTTGAAATATTCAGTAATCATAGGCCTATTTGGTTATAGTTCGTGCATTTAAATCACAGCAGAAAGTATTTCTATCATTAAAGCACGAATAGAGCTAACCATACATTTTCTTTTATAAAAACACTAAATCTTCCATTTACTCCTTTGCTTTGTAAAGCTTGAAAAAGTATCTGATGATTAATCGTATCAAAAGCCTTGCAAATATCCATGTAGAAGCCTCGAAATATATACCCTCAGTTTAGAAAAATATTTTTGCTCCATAAAAAACATTATTAATTGCCTGAAATCCAAATCAGAAACCTTCCTGTGGTTTGTCATAATTATTGTTGTTTTCATCAGTTGATACAAACGTTTATTAGCGCTTGAAAATATTTTATATAGTGTAATAATGTGAGAAGTTCCTCGAGAATTACAGATTGACCCAGGTCCAAAGATTGAGGGAATCCACTTGCTTTAAACATTCAATTAAAAACAAATTGCACGTGAAGCGTTTTCGTTCATGTCGTTCCTCTCATACTTCATGAAGGCTGCATATCTTTCTTACGTCCTCCTAGAAATATTAACATTGCAGTTATTAGTTATTATTAGTAAAAAAATGAACTAATACTAAAACGTGTCTGATGTCGTTTTGGATTGCATATTATTTGTCCTTCAATTTGTAACAAAATATGCCAAGTTTCTTCAGAAATTGAGAAAAGCATCAAACTTTGCATAGATGTGCTTTAAGACAAAAGAAACGTTTTGATTATATGACTCATTCGTTTTATCATGTATTTTCTTTTTCAACTGTAACTGCTAAAATGAAATGGCATCTGGAAATTTTGTTAAAGTAACAGATGTTATATAGAAAATTGTTTTATTGTTAACTAGTAAACCACTGTGTACGATAAAGTTGGAAAAAAGGTATTGGTAAGTCAATGTAACAATAATAGCTGATAGCTGGCAGGGGCAGAAATGTTTTATTGTAAACCTGTTGTATCACATACTTTTCTATTTAAAAGAATAGTTAATGATAGTATAATGAAATATGATGTTTAATAAATACTTACCGCCCGATAAGCCTTTATTATCAGAATGCACCCTTGTTTTAAGCTCATCTATAAATGGTGCTTTTGGAAATAGTAATGCTCCATTTTGTTTGGGCGTTGTTTCTAAAAGAAATATGTATAACAACGTTATATTTGTTCGTTTGGTTTTAACGCTGATTTCAACACTTTTTGGTAAAAACTCGCAATTAAATTTACTAAAAAATCGAGAGGTTCATATGATAGTATAAGCTAACTAAACAGTTTCTAAATTGTCACTATTTATCATGATGTTCATTGCCCTAAAATCCAGAATTTGTGTGCTTACAAAAGCAGGTAAGATGTGCAGTGTGCTAACTGTTTAGGAATTGACCCTATCACTGTGTTGTTATAGCTTTCAGTTCCTTTAGAACCATTGATTCCAATGCTTAAAGTGTTGAAAATTAAATATCGTAAAGTCTCTGCTACCGAGCGGGGGAGGGGCATGAAAATTGTTGCAATTGCTACATGTCGTGAACAGACCTAATAAATTCAAAACTGTAATTTCTAACTTTTTGGTTTTATTTTCACTGCCATTTATTGATAGCTCTTACCATTTTTTTCTTTAAACCATAAGTTTGATTCACCCACCATTTACTCTTTTTACTATTTACAGATGTAACTTTTATGCTTATACCATATGACATTTAACCACTTACTTACTTTGGGCAAAACGACAATCAAAAAACAAAACAAGAATAACAATGCAAAAGATTTACCAGATATTATTTTCCTTCATAATATTTTAACTATTTCACTGTTTAATCGGATAAAATGTTAAAGTCCTCTAATTATAATATGTAACAATTACATTGAATTATATAGGGAAACATCCAGTTTTGTATCGGAAATAAGTGGAAACAGTGTGTCTTAACAATTAGATATCCACGCAGTTTTATTTTATGAAAGAAGAAGATTTGTTTTCCTATTTATACGTATAAACAGGTTTTATGCTTCATTCCATACAAGATAATGATATATATATATATATATATATTCATCTGAAGGTATATAATTAAACGCAAATTATGTTGTAGTAGCTCTCTGAGGCTATGCATTTTTCTACTCGGTCTCGCGAGATATCAATTTTCCACCACTGCTCGAAGCAAAATACAAAGCCCGAGAAAGCTAATACAACATGATATTCCGTATTCCGTATTTTCTATCCATTGAAGCGTATCTGCGCTTCAAGATTTGCGTGTATTTTAGGGACAAAACTTATAGGTATATAATAAAACAAGTAAAGGCACAAAATAAAGCCTGGACGGTCTTTTGTATTGGTTTTCTCTTTGTTTTTTTTTTTCAAAGCGAAAAAACAAAGAGTCACGTTTTTGCACCGTGTTCCGTGTAATCCTAAATGATGTGTACATGTATTTAGTCATTAAAATAATTTAATTGTAAAAATGTAATTCAATTCTGAATTTGATGTAATTTTATTGTGAAAATTAATTTGCTGAGATTTTGTCATAACTTAACATTGCCGCGACATGTTTTTAAAGGTAAGGTCAGGTCAGGTCTATATAAAAGATCATTTGTCTACCGCTAGATGAGTACAATATGATTTGAGAAAGATATTAAATTAGAAAAATTCATTTATATGTCTAACGTTATATAAATGCTAAGTAGAGACATCAACACGGACTTGCCCTTTCGATTCATACCATTATGGCGTTCCGTTTCTGTTTTACTTCTCTCACTTTTGTGTGAATGTGCTGTTTTCTTTTCTTTGTCATTCTCATGAACTAAATGCATGTCACAGTGAGAGTCACTTGGTGCTGACACGGAACAATATGACGAAGCTATTGAATGTTTTCTATCTCCTGCTGATAGGCCTTGTAATTAACAAGAAGTAAAGGAAATAAAACATATGTTAACATTAATATGTTTATGTAAATCTGTAGCATGTTTATATGAATTGAACACATTCTGATGAAAAAAATCAGCGACAAACAATTGTTACAGTAATGAAATGTAGGAAAAAAATCAAATTTATCATTTTGCTGCTTTGAATATGAAACAATTCTATGCTGTCTTCCATACAACCTGGTGAACAAATTGCATGTTTGATTTACATCACTGCAGTTGAACGAAATTTGGTGCATAGTATACAAGCAAAGCTATGAATCAATTAAGCATATCGAAACATACGTATATATTCATAGCTAAGATTGATTTTGTAAGCTCTGGTTTTGTCTTACCCTTTAATGAACAGCTTACGTCTTCATAATCGTCATCTGTGTCTGCGGAGTCTAATACATGTTGTCCCTTCATGTGTTTAACATCCGCTTCTTCCTTCATTCCTTTTATAGAAAAAGCCTTACTTTAACACAATGAAGAATAATCGGTTCAAACAATAATTCTTATTTAATTTGGTAAACTTTAACTCAGTTACCACACATACAGTATAAATTGCCTGAAGTGTGATTACCCCTTTTAAAATCAAACATTGCGTGTAACAAATTGATCATAATTATAGACCATATGAAACATACAGTATCTAAGTTTATCTTATATGTACATATAAATTGAGGACAATAATTTTCATGGTAAATGTTTAAATTTTACAGTACTAAAAGATTATCAAACAGAAAAGAAATAAACAAATAATATCTGAATCAGTTTAAGCACGGTGTTCCTTTTATTAAAACAGCATGTTCTGAAATGAAAGAGTTTAGAAATGTAATGACGCATTTACAACACATTGGCGAATTAATGATTTTTTTACACGTTATTCTTATGCTTTTGAGTGGACTACTGATTTATCAATGAAAATCATATTTGATAATTTCACAGTGAAAAGTATCAAAATATAATCTTTGCAATGAAGAAACTATCTTTTAATGATTTCCCAATGTGGTTCCTCACTTTTTATTTATGCTTATAATTACTTTATTTCAATTCATTCAATTTACCGATCATCATGCAAAACTGCTCTTGATGATATTTGGGCATTAATAAGTTTTCTACGGGCAATAACAGTTAAACGGTGTAAATGCAATGACATTCGTCTGCCCGAAGGATAAGAAAATAAACCAGCGTTCTTAAGACAGCCTTTTTTTAAAAAAAAAATCAATTTTTTGCAAATTTCATGTCGCTTTTTAAATGTGTACAAATAAAATTATGTCAACAATTCATTTTTGTCTTTAACAATCCACGAATAAGTATTTTTATTTCTTATGATAGATGTTAAAATATCAAAGCCAAATGCAATCCCTTCGAATCAAACTCAATTTACCATTTCAATGATTCTAAAAATGGCGGTCGTGATATAGACTAATATTTCAGTTATATTGGTTTTAAAAAAACAGAATTAAATTAACGGTAACTTTATCGTCTTCTAGAAATGTTCGTTTTATGATTAAAACAAGGCACCATTCATATTTGTTGTTAAAAATAAATAATATCATTGCAATTTAACTTTATGAACTTATATTTCAGCTCAATACTTTTGTATTTGTGAGACATTCGTCTGAAATTGAGGCTTACCAGGGGAAAAAACAAATTGTTAATGCACAAGTTAATATTCAGGTTATTTCATTTAAATTTTTAGTTATGCATAAAATAATAAAAAAAAGAGAAATTGCTTCTTTGTTGTGCAAGATGTAATTCTATTTCTAACATCAAAACAGTATTATCTGTCACTCGTGAGAATATTGTTTTTATAGCTCTCTCGAGGAATTAAATTTTCCACGCGAGGATACTGTTTTTTGAATTTCACGAGATGGAATAAAATTACATCTTACACACAAACAAATAAATATCATCTATCTTGAATTTACAACTGGACAGTTTCATACCATGGTTTATGTTGCCAAACCGTCTTTGATCAACTTCATCGTAAGCTTTATCATCACTTCCAATTCTTGTTTCTTTGTCAACATCTATATCAACGTAAGAATGATTGTCATGTGATGAAGTCGTATTTTATATTAAATATCGATAATCTAAACAATGTAGTACATGTAACATATTTTGTTAAAAGGTGCTAAAATTGGCTTTCTTCTATCAGAAAACGTCTATTAGATAATATTGCTTCCAAACAATTTCTAAAAGGAGTGATCTACTCTATCAGATACAGAAAACCTTTAACAAATACTAAAATCTAAGAAATCCCGAATAATCGTTAGCTTACTTTCAGTATAATTGTATGATAATTAAACGTGCAAGTGGTATCAATTATGTTCTTACTTGAGACGAAATTCGTCATTACAAATCAAAAAAAAACTTTTGGTATGACAAAATATATCCGTAATGCCATGATGACTAAAATGTCCCATATATTTTATTATCAGATATTATAAAATTACTTACCAATTTCTATTGCTGGTACTGTTCCTGCGCTTCCGTATCCACTATCACTAAAATATATTATACCATTTAGTACTTTAAGAATATAAGGTACATTTTTGATACTGTTTTCTTGGTCGAATTTAATTTCTTAACCCTCAATATTTTTATTTTGTGTTTCATTGATTTATGATAATCTACAGTAGCGCATTTACCTTTACACGGTTGTTTATAATAGTCAGAATGAAATCAATAAAAAAAATTCGTACCATGGTGGACGAACGTGGGTCTTCACTTCCAAAATACTGTGGTCTAATTTGTCAACCCATTCCTGTTACAAACAATATAACAGTTTTACATGATTTTAAATAGGATATTTGGATCACAACAGTAACCACTAGTGTGTTAACAAGGTTTGTCCATATCTAGGCTGTGTGACCAAGTTTTCTACAACAAAAAAAACCTTTATTTGAGCTTGACGTAGAAGTCAACAAAGCAATCTTTCTGACCAATTTCCAAAATATTTAAATCAAAACAAAAGGTCAAAGTATGTTAACAAGTTTTTTTCTTAATTTGGGTTGTGTGATCTAGTTTTTGACCACAGCTGACCTATAAAACACAAAAGACAACCTTTCTGACATATTTTCCAAACATTAATCAACACAGAAGCCTGAATGGTTTTAACAAGGTTGTCCATTTCGGGACTTTGTGACCTAGTTTTGTACCCAAGGTGACCCGTATTCAAGCTTAATCTAGTAATCATACAATAACTTTTCTGACAAATTTCCAGAATATTTGGATTTAAACAGTAGTCTCTAGAGTGTTAACATCAATGTTTCCTTATTTTAGCTGTTTGACCGAGATTAAGACCTATTTGACCCATATTAGAAAATGACTTAGGAATCATCATAACAATCTGACTAATTTTTCCATGATATTTTGACTGTAACAGTAGCCCCTATTTGGAGCCAAGGTGACAAATATTCAAACTTTACCTTGAAATCACAAAACAACATCATTTCTGACCAATTTCCAGGATCTGTGAAGCAAAACAGTAGTTTCAAATGCCATTTTTTGTGTGACCTAATTTTGAACCCAAGGTGACCAATATTCAAGTTGACCTAGAAATCACCAAAGCCACTTTTCCTATCAATTTCAAGGATATTTAGATTAATACAATAGCCGTATGAGTGTAAACAAGGTTTTTACATATTGGGGCTGTGTGACCTAGTTTTTTAACCCAAGACACCAATATTAGTCCTGACATAGAAATCATCAAAACAACCTTTATTACCAATTTTCAGGATATTTGGACAAGAGAAGGAGCCACTAGAGTGTTAATGATGTCCTTCCGTATTTGGACTGTGCGACGTAGTCTTTTACTGTAGATGACCCATTTTCGAATCTGACCTAGAAATTATCAAAACAACCTTTCTGACCAATTTCCAGGATATTTGCACTGGTACAATAGCTGATTGAGTGTTAAAAATATTTTTCCATAATTGGGTTGCATGACCTAGTTTTTTGACCCCAGGTGACCCATATTCAAAGATAACTCAGAAATCATTAAAGCAACCTTTCTGATCAATTTTCAGGATATTTGGATCAAAACATTAACCACGAGAGTGTCAAAAAGATTTTTTATTTCTAGCTCTTGCGACTATTTGTTATCCCTATTTTTGAACTAGACCTGCATTTCATTATTAACAGACATTCTATCAAAGTTTGATTACGATCCAGCCAAAATCTATGACCTCGTGGTTAGGTGAGCTCAAAAGCCAAATGAAACGTCAATAAGCATCATTTTTTATTATGAAAACGAGCATTTCATCCATTTATGAACATATCATCTTTAAGATTTGAAAAAAGGAAAATAAAGCAAATCAACAAATTAACAATAGTTTCTATGTCAAGAATGCAATTTTTCTTTTACACTGATAATTTTTATAACAAAGTAAACAAAGATTGTTAATATTTCATTTTTCAAGGGTTTTCTATAAATATATTCATAATAGTTTTCAATTTTTACTTTCTTAAATCTGTCTCGCGTCTTTTAAATTTGAGCTGATAGACTGAGCTAGAAATCGATACTAATGGAATGAACACGATAACAATATAAAAGGTATCTTATAGTTACTTTTTGTGCTTTTTCTGTATCACAGCAAAAATGTAGAGGTGTATTTTCATCATTGAAACCAAGATAAAAGCATATTGCTCCATGGTATTCCTCTGTGGATTCCCAAACGCTAAAAAATAATAAATTGTTAATATAGTGCATTATCAAACAAATAATGTTTTATTATACACGTGTATGTTTATTTCATAATTTATATAAAGTTTTGATGAAGAGGGTTTTTTGTGTGTCCATTACTAAACAGATTTTAAATTACATATTGCTAAGTGCAAATGATTGTTTTATTATTGTTGTAAAGTGTTTTAAGGAACTTTCAGCTTTTCTTACGATTAAATTTGTTATATTTAGATTAATCGTTTCATATAATTGTCAAATCAAAATAATTGAGACGGAAAATGAAATCGTTGGACGAAAAAATACATGAACAATAAGGACACACCTTTTCTCTACCGGCCCGCTCTCTATATTTAGATAAGTAAGGCGGACGATTCGTTTCCCGAACTTCAACTTTTGAGACACGAACGACACAGATGCGTTATGACTAGCTCTCGGGACACTGTTTTAAAGGTTTAGCAGTGATATGATGCACTTTTTCAAAATAAACTTACTGAAATACTTAGTTCGAAACAACACAGAGTTGTTTCCCAACAGAGAATATAAACTTATGGCTGCTTTAAAGATATGTGTACCCGGACTGAACGAATATATATCAAATAAGAAAAAATAATAACTCTTACCGTTCAAATTCCTTTAAAGACTTTTTCAGGAATGCTTCACGTGATAACCAGTCATCATATAAGTAAAGACAACCCTGGGATACAATACAATAGCAGATTTTCCCTGTGAATGATGATTTGAATCAAATTTAAAATTATTTTAACCTAATTAAACAATATTTATTCTCGTTTAACTTGACGCAAACAACATTAAATGTCATTCAAAATTGTGAGTGCCTACATTGAAAGTACAAATGTATTTTGTAAGTGAATTCTTATGAATTATGAAAGCGAGCAGGGCATGGGCAAAAGCAATAAGATCATCACTAAACCCCACTTATTATGGAAATGTAATATTGATCTAAGGGCGAGAGGGGGGACATTTTATTCATTTAATTTTCTATTTAATATATGTGATTAAATAACTGAGACTGGCCTTGTTATCACACTCTAATTTGACTGTTTCTGGTAGCATTAGACTGTGACACTGGTGATTGTGTTGAGGAACGTTAAAAACATTCAATAGGAACACATTTAGATTATCTGCTGTTCATAATCAGATCTAATTTAATGACACACATAAGATTTTAAGAGATTATCTTACGAATATTATTCGAGCCAATACTTACAACGTTTTTTCTTTAAAATCATCAAAGTCCAACTGATGGAATAATCTACTGCAGCTAACAACTCATTTGCAGCTGGAGAAGAAATTTGAAAAGTTAATTCTGAAAGATTAGTCATCCCTTAATATCATGAGGTTATATGAGGTTATATATAATTGCATTTGCCCAAATTTGTGTTAACAGTCAATTCGAATCGTAAGGGAATTTAATAACACAATGCAAAATGCTAGCTACCAAGTGTGTAGAGTCTAGTCTTATTGCACTCATGTGCATGCTGGCCTTGCTCTATGTACTGGAGGCTAATTTTAACAATGTTTATTGTGCTGGATAAAGATTAATATATTATGACAAGGATTCGTTTGAAAAACATGAAACAAATAAAACAAAATAAAAACAACAAAAATCTACAATTGGATCGGTATGTACGAAAATAGAGTTGAACAGTAAAATACGTGACGTCATGGATTGAATAGATAACTAATATCAAAATGACATTACCTATAGTCAACGGTGTCTTAATAATCTTCATAGTATTTAAAAACGTTTCAGGGTATCCGTTCACAAATTATCTGAAATATAACCAATTTATAACAGTAATTAAGCAGATATGAAAAAAAGTACTGGCATCAAAAATGAAACTAAAATTGGTGGTTTTATATACGAATCATTTACAAAATTCGCAGGAGCATATTATTGTGTCCGTTACTTAATATGCAAAAGAACTAGCATTCGGTATTTGATTAATTAAAATGATGTTGAAAAAAATGTAATTGCGTATGACTTTATTTCAAAACAACAATAACAACAACGACAAGAAACGTTATTTCATTTGCATCATTAACAATTTCTGGCCTTTGTCAAACTAGTAACCTAAAATAAAATGCTGATTGAGTGCTTATTTGTTGTTAGTTATTAACAATTGATTCCTTGTAAAGTTTCATTTTTTACAACAATGTTGCATATTTAGATTAAAATTGGTACCGATTGCTCTGTTGGTATAATAATACCTAATTATGTTTTATTAATAAATTAATCTAAATTTGTGAACGGTCGTCTATGGACTTAAGTTAACAACAGCCTAGATAGAATATGAAATATGGTAAACAAGATTAGGTGTTCAATGAACGCACGACCCAGCATTGGGACTGGCGGCCAGGAGCGAAAAAGATAAACAAAAGGTATCTTTAAAAGGGATAATAAGACGTGTCAAGCCCTTCAAATATTTTGTGTCATGTCTCAGGCAATTGAACGTTACTTGTTTTTCATCATATATGTCGAATGGTCCTTTAATGTTTGACATGGCTGTTTATACCTGTAAAAGACATAAACCTATGCTTTATTAATTTCAAATAAATTGAGGCGTAAGCCAAAGAAATATCTTTATCACAGTGCGCATGCGTGAGATGGTTTGTCCGGGAAGTGACTGTGTAAAATTGAAGTCCGGCATGCAAATTACGTTTAAATAAAATATTTTAAAGTAATAAATTGTGAGCATGAAAAAATGATATAATGGATGGATATAAGATAGAAATATTGCAGGGATATCGGACTTTAAATGAATAAAAAAAACAAAAACAATTAAACAATTTATGTATATAAATATCTTTTGAACGTCAACGTGTATTGTAATGAAATTTTATCAGCATACATTGTAGAATATTATCAACACGTTTTAAAACGAACAGTTAAATGAGTCAATAAATAACGATTTAATATTGCTTTAAAATAAGCACATACACGGCAACCGGCGCACAGTAGGAAAACGCAGTTAGTCAATTGTCATCTAAAAAACTACTACCGGTAATTAACGTAGAAAACCCGATAAACATCGCATATTTCTTCTATAATGTCATTTAAGTAATTACGGACGTCAATTCCGTTAATTTTTGTTGAAATCGCCAAAAACGCCAGACGACTATATTGTTTACAACGGGAAAATGAGAAAATGACGTATACGCAGAAATTAGAAAATAGCGTGATCATAAATTGTTCTTGTAATTTTGGAATGACACCAACAAAAACATTTGAAAACAAACAAACAAAAAACATCAGGCGAACAGAGAAAATAAAATTTTACTATCATTAGTGTTTAAGTGGCATAAAAAATTAGTGATGGACATTACTTTGTGAAGCAGTAATGGTTATTGACTGCGTAACGTTGAAGCATAAGTTGTACGTTAAATATTATGACGTTGACTTCAATACTTGTTTGGAGTGCGCCACATGTGTTTATGTAAAATTTAATATTGTTGTAATATAAGAAGCTACTAATATGAATTGTTCTGTGTTTATTTGTTATTTATTCTTCTAAGCAGTGTAATTTCAAATCAATATCTCAAATATATTTTACGCAACGAACTTTTGGATAACCCATCGTATAGGACAAAATTATACATAAACGTAATACTGTTTAAAACTTCCTTGTTTTACTGTGTAAACATTAAGATAAAAAATATTTAAACCATGTTTTTATGTTGCACTTGGGAATTGAAATGAAACACAATTGAGTATTTACAGACAACGCTTTTTTTACCCCCACGGCGATAAAGTTATAAAACACCGATAATATTTCAATAACGAAGGTTATAAATTGCCGACCTATTTATTGATATCTTAAACATTAAGAGATATGAATCATAACAGAAGATAAATCTGATTATTTTGAAATTTCAGTATATTATAGTATTTGTAAGTTAATGTAAAATAATAAGTAAATAAGTTTGTACAAAGTAAACGAAAAACTTCGCTGTTTATTGTTTTGATAACAAGAATGCTATAATAACCATTATATTGCTTTTCAGAGTGTTTAGTCTCTAAATGACAATGGACAATTACTATGAAAAAAAAAGTTATAACGTCAAAATTTACGTCAACTTATATCGATATAAAGCTGCAAATATGCATATGAAATATTGACATAATTCTTAGTTTTTATAGCTGAAGCTTTCAGTTTAAAAAGCAGGTCACCATTGACACCATCTAGATCAACGATTATAAATATAAAAAATACATTTCATATTGTTTAAAAATGTCCAATTCTCCAGTACTACTGTCATGGTTGGTTTCTCGGGAAGTCAACTTTTGCTATAACAGGACTGGTGAATGGTTGCCTTAAAGGAAGTTGTTGCTATGAAAAGTCGATGTTGTTTTTGAAAGCACTGGTTGCTGTGAAAAGTTGATGGTTGCGATGGAATCCAGAGGCTGGCTAAGTTTGAGACTTAAAAAAGTGTTGGAGCACCACATTAAATTACAAATACCGGACAAGGCGCTTGAATGATTAAATGCTAAAATCTCGGCTTTCAACCCACCGAAATGCACATTAAGACGCTCACATTAATTTATACACGCGGGAAGGAGCTGTTACATGGAGGATGGAACTTTTATGACAACTTGTCAGGAATTTTTTACTGTCACGGAGTTCCTTGAAATGTTACGGGTATAAAAACTTATGTATAAAAAATAATATTATACAGAAGAAATACTCTTCAAAAAGGATTATTAAACTGTCTTACAAATTGAAAAATGGATGAGAAAAAACTTTACATCTCACTTTTAATCGACTCTTGTGTCAAATCTGGTAGTGTTGAGTGAAATTTCCAAATGGTGTGCTCATTCGTACAAATTGAATTGTTTATTTGTGATTTCCTTGCCATTCTTAAATACTTCATTATAATGGAAAGTTGCAAACATAAAGTCTAACAAATTTATGCCCGATGTTTCAAAACTACCAGATTTTCAAAAAGAGACATTGAAAAAAGGACTTTATTTTTTTCTGACACATAATACAATATGTTACGCAAGATTAATCTCAAAATTTAAATATAGCACTTTAAACTCTTTTTTATGGTGAATAGCAACCTTCCTGACTATTGTTTCTTCGGTTAATACAGAAGTTTCCCGTCGAAATCAGTAATGTTTTCCGAGGATTCCGTGAAAGTTATAAGAAGAAATCCTAACAAGTTATCATGAGAACTCCATCCTCCGTGTAACAGTTACTCTCCCGTGTACAATAATGAACAAAAAGAGCAAGAATCGCAAAAAAGTGATATTTTTCTACTTTGTGATCATGATTTATGTCGAGCGTTTAGAGGACCTGTTCAAACACTGTGAGTTAAATAAATGCAATGATTGTTGTAGAAGGAAATGCTTGCTAAACTAAGTGAATGGTTGCTGTGGGATTCAATGATTGCTTAAAATTCAATGGTTTTATGGAAGTCAGTGATTGCTATATAAGTACTGAATGCTTAAAAAAGTCAGTGCTTGAAATGGAAGGCAGTGATTGCTAAGGAATGCGAATATGTGTTATTGTAGTCAATTTTAACTATGGAAAGACAATGGTTGATATGAAAGTCTGTTGTTGTTGAGAAAAGTCAATGCTTGCTATTAAAGTAAGAAGTTGCTAAGGGTAGTCAGTGATTGCTACAGAATTCATTGATTGCTTAGGGAAGGCAATGGTTGCTTTGGAAAGTCAATGGTTGCGTTGTAAGTAAATGGAGGCTATTGAAAGTCAATAGTTGCTGAGGGAAGCCAATAATGGAAGTCAGAGGTTGTTACGGAAAACAATGGCCGCTTTGGAAGTCATTGGTTGCTAAGAACAGTCAATGGTTGCTTTGAAAGTAAGCGGTAGCAAAGGGTAGTCAATGGTTGTTGTTGAGGCCACTTGTAGTTATATGATGTCACTGGTTGCTTTATAGATCAATGGCTGATATTTGCCAATAGTTGCCATGAAATTTACTTGCAGATTATTCAATGGTCAATTTTTATAAGCTCTCAAGTTTTTATTATAAATATACATGTAAAGAAAGCCAATGGACACCGGGACAGAGTCAATTCAATCCAGGGAATATGATTTAAACAAAACTTGTATTGGTAGGTGCTATCAAAAATTTTACTTTATACATCTAAGGTAAACACATATGACCATCGGGACAAGGCCAATTTTGACTCAAGGGCTATGATTTTGACAATAAAAGATACCTTCTACACAATGTTTTATGTCTTATATCTAAGCTCTTGTCCGTATGGATTCAAGTTGAAACATATGTCAAAATTGTTACTTTATACATACATTTATAAGAAAAACCCATGACCCTTTGGGTCTTCAACGTAAGTTTTAATTTAGTTAGGTTGACTGGACAATATTTCTTGTCAAAAATAAAAAGTGTTTTCAGAGGAGGAGGTTTAATTTTTACAGATATAAGGAACACCAATTACCCTCTGGGACAGGACAGATTTTAACCAAAGGGCAATAATTTGAACATTTTGCAGATGTTTCATCCAAAATGCCTAATCTCTAGTCTTTATGGTTTCAGAGGAAATTTATACGAGGCTGTTCTATACTAGTAACCATATAGGGAAAACAAAGGAATAGCCAATTTGGACACCGGAACAAACATTAGAACCTAATTTTTGTGTAAACTTGCCGTTTTGTAATTAACTATCTTATCAAAAGTTAGATATAGCATAACATTTTTATCTGATTACAATATATACAAATTCATTCATTAACAAGAAATGTATTTAATAATCATATAATCGAAAATCTTACCTTTATTAAAAGATTCATCTGTTATAAGTTTGATAACATATATATCACCTATTCTTCCTGTTTCTATTTTTTCCATTTAGCTGTTTCTATAAATATAAATTACATATGTATGTAAACCAAATGGTGTCAATATCTTCTTCAAAATACTCGCAGTGTTAGATAACAAGATTGACGGGGAAGGATCAACATACTTATATTCAATATCAGGAGGTAAACATAAAAATAAATGTTTTCGTTATAACATTGCTTTTGAATATCAGTTGGGTAGTTAATATTGATTTTGTCACCGATAAAGATGCATAATCTTCTAAAAATCAAGATCAAGAATTAAAAAAAAATTATATTTCTGATATCGTATCACTTTCTGTCGTTCGTACTAGCATGATTCAGAACTATGATGTAAGGAAGCTGTATTACGCCGCATGTAGCTTTCAACGAATATAGCTCTCCTTGTACCTTCATCTGTTACGCAATAACACATATATAGCGCTGAAAAAGCAATATTCGTTAAATCAGTACAGCTTTATCCGTCAATAACATGCGCCGGTTTCTAGAATGATGCCTCGCATTGATGAATAAAGCTCCCTATCATGAACAGAGCTGCATTACTGGTACTGGTACTGGTACTGCAGTACATACTGCAGCGATTTTGCAAGTACTGGTACTGATACTGAATTACTCTTACAAAATTTTGCTACTACTGGTACTGGTACTGCATTACTGTCTTAAAAAGTGGTACTGCTACTGCATTACCCAGTACTTTTGGTTTTGATAAAAATTAAAAATAGCATCAATTTTTCTCATAAAATAAAGCTGTAAATTACATTAACTATATTTTATTTTTGTGAAAAAGTAAGTTATCAAATCTAAAGATAATTTGCTGCAATATTCCTTCAAATGTTAACATAGTATTCATCATAAAAAGCACCAAAGACTTTAAGTAAATATTAAATTAAGATAAACAGGCTCAATAACTCTTTACCCTAAAATATCCTTATTAAAATCTTTTATTACTTTGTATTTACTAGTAAAAGAGCAAAATAAACACTTATTAATTTCTTCTATTCTAAATAATCCCATTTCAAGTGAAAAAAGTGATATTGTTAGCAGAACAGAACAGAACAGATAGTTTATTCAGATTTGTACATAGTACATCATCTTGTATATACATATCAATAATTATATATGTCAAATTGAGATACAATAAGAACAGAATTATTTTTGACAGTAATGGTAGTAATTTGAATACATATAAATCAAAACAATTAATCATGTATAAGGAGAAAGAACATGTATTAGAGTTATCTTTCTACAGTTAATACTGAATTTCTTAAAGCAAGAGCGTTTTTGATGAACAGTGATAATTGTATGAGCTCGGTTTTATCACAAGAATTTAAAAGTTTGATAAATTTATAAACAGATGGTCTTTTGACGTAAATATCCTTTATGTATTTTTTTCTTAATTCTGAATAAAAGCTGCATATACATATAAAATGATACTCATCTTCTATATCTAAATTGTTACAACATAAACAATATCGTTCATTACGGGGAATAAGGTTTCTATTAAATCTTCCTGTTTGAATTCTAAGGGGAAGACCACTCATGCGTAATTTACAAAAATAAAATCTAAATCCTTTTTGTAAAATATCTAAATATTTCTCATATTCAAATGTACTCTTAACATTTTTATAAAAATATAAAAGGGAACTATTTTCTAAGTTAGCAAACCATTCTTGTTTAACAACATCCAAAATGCGATTTTTAAACTCTGTCAAAAATATATTCTTATCTATGTAATTTATTTGATCAAAAACATATGAAAATCCATAAGCATTCAAAATTTTTTTCACATTTGTGACCCAGTTTACACATCCACTATTGCTGTCATTTAATGCTATATTATACATTGTTTTTAATAAGATATTATCAGTCTCAACAATTTTCATCCAGTATTTTATTATTCTTATATATCTATTTACATACAATGGGTACCTTCCCAATTCGCCATAAACATATGCATTACATGTATTCTGTCTCACTTTTAATAATCTTTTGCAAAATTTTAAATGAATTCTTTCAATTGGTTTCGACTTAGAATATCCCCAGACTTCACATGAATAGTTCAAAATAGAAACAACAAAAGCATCAAATAACTGACAAAATAACTTTGGACTTAGATCATATTAGCACCATAAAAAGTTGTTATTTACTTTGGTATAAATTGAACAGAGGTGTGAAGGTGTGAAAGGCAACAAAAGACTGTTGTGTTCTAAATCATGAAAGATGTTTGCATTGTATTTATACAGTTGACTGGTTACTGAACAATTAGATATGACATGAATATAATAATTATGTTGTAAATATTGTTTGTAAAAAGTATGTTAAAACTATAAAGTTGTAAATATGTTATGTTAACTTTAAAGTAAATTATGATTTTATTTCTTTGCTGAATAATATTTGCAATTATTTGTTTGACACTGTATTTATTCAAACTTTGATGAATATATAAAAGTAATGGTACTGATACTTAATTACTTCACCAAAAAAAGTACTGGTACTGCAGTACCGAGCTAAAATCTAGTACTGGTACTGGTAATGGTACTGCATAATTTGCCAAGTACTGGTACTGGTACTTAAGTACTACACCCTTAGTACTGATGCAGCTCTGATCATGAAGTGGGTTATATACAATAAAAATAAACAACGTCGTCACAAGAAAAAAAATGTTATCTTGTATTATCATCATTATATATATACACACACACACACACACACACACACCAACACATGCACACACACACGCACACACACACACGCACACACACACACACACACACACACACATGTTAAATTCTTAAATTCTGCTCAATCAGGTGCTAGGGGCCTGGACGGTAATTTGCCATTTCCATAACCGTCCATGAACAGGCTTAATGAAACAGGGTCGGCAATATGTTCAATTTTTCGATTTGTGAGTTTTTTAGGGATTCCGTTTTCCTCTCTTTTATCTGCAGCTTGTTTTCAACTTTATTTTAAATGTAAAATTGAAACGATGTAGTTGTTTTGAAAGATTATAGACGCGTTGTATATATTTTTAAGCAGATATCGTATCTTTGTGGCTTGTTATTCCATTCAATACATACAGACTTCACAGGTCAAAAAGTTGACTATGTCACAAATATAGAGTAGCGCTATCATAAGTCTAAACCGTAGTATGACCACTTAATATAAACTATGTGTATTGTTTAAATACGGTTCTATTCTGTCCATTACTGCTTGGTTATCGAGATTATTCGGGATATAAGAATAAGAACATCCTTAAACTAATTCACGCATCGTATAATTTAGGAGAATGATCAAATAGTTTTAGGCATGAAAGAAATATTAGATTTTGTCCAGTATCAAACATTTTTGGGAATTAAAAAAAAATTAGTTAATGTATTTTAAGTCTTTTGCTTAAATGAATTCAACATATTGACATTTAACAGCTAAAATCCCCTTTGTGGTTGAGGAATTGCCTTAAAGTGTTAATGCATCAAAATGGCAGCGACCGTTTATCCCGCGTGATCGTAAGAGGCGACCAAATGGGTTCATGTTACTGGAGCCTTTGTATCTCTCTGCCTCAGCCAAATTGATCTTTCCTGTTTTGGCGTCATATGACCTAAATTGTTTTAGTGCGCCGTAAAACAAAACAAAAATTAGCTACCATAGTAAATGAAATAGTTGTAAGTGGACCTAAGTACATTAAAAAAAATACATAATACATAGGACTCCCACTCGATTTTCTAGGTTCTTCTATAAAATCGCTTAAGTTTCAGTTGTTTCTTTCACAAAGCATTAAATTTTATTGTAACTATTACAAGAATCTAAACAAAATGCATATTTATAATAATAAGCGTTTTTTTAATTATTTGATACATGTTAGACTATATAAGTACATATTTGTTTTCATTGAAAATAAACTAAGAAACATAAACAATGAGCCTTTATTTTTCTAAAGTGGTACTTTGATTTGACTTGCAGTCTCAATTATAGTCAGGATTATTGTGTTGAAATTGTGACATTCATATTTTTGCTAGGTAAGGATTTTTTCATAACTTGTAGGTAAATGAATTTTAGTTTTTGCCATAAAATTTTATTATCATAGAAATGAGTCAATCAAATTTCCAAGAAAGGAATAAGTAGTATTTTAATATTAAAGTACAGTTTACAATAAAATAGGCTAATTCAAAGTAAAAGCAGGGGAATCCATTACAATTAATCATGTTACGAGTAGAAACTTAATTTTTTCAAATTATATAATTTTATGATAATATCAAATATAATTTACCATACGGACTAGATGAAGTATAACTTATTTTAAATTATGTGATTCCAAATCACTTTTTGCAGTAGAAGCTTAACGATCTGGAAGGTGTATTCAACTATGAAAACTGGACAGATAGTATCCTGCAGATATGCTTTATCGTTGTGCAGTGTTTCAGTGAAAGTCGTATGCTGCTAGAACGACATATACAGGCAACGCTGAAAGTGATAGTTAAGGTGAAAAACCACTTTCTGTAACTTAATTTTTTTAATATGAATACTTAATATAATACTTATTTAGATATGCAAAAAACAAACATGTTTTGCGGGACAAAGAAGTCCATGTACGTATATATTTTAATGGTTTTAATATGTTTCAGTATTGTTCTATTTTTGTCTGATACTTGTGGATCTTTGCTTCTTCCAGTACTATAGCGTTGAAGATTGAATACAACTTAAATTGGTGCTAGGGAGCGTATATGATAATACATTTCTTAAACTATCTCTCAGCCGATCAAGTCTGCAATTTTCATATAATACGGGAGTATATTTTAAATTAGTGGCAACGACAGTGCGTTTTTATCATATAAATAAGTGAAACATGTGGAAAACATAATTTGTAGAGTCCTTAAAATTACTCAACTTGGACTTCTACACACTTTCCAGCCTCAGAATCTATAACGAACAAGCATTTATATACTATTCTTTGAGGTATTCTCTTTATACACTTGTAGAGAGCGATTACGACGGCACTACGGGTTTTGCACCGGTAACCGTGAAGGCAAGATTTGATGTATAGATTTAACCAAAAGTCAGAAGGAGAGAGATCAATGACTATTAGCTGGATGTAGCAAAACCTCAATTCTCTGCACTATGAGTTTATTGTCTGGCACAAAAAAATAAATAAATAAAATAAAAAGAATAAAATAAAAAAAAATAAAGCAACATTTCATCGCCTTTGACCATAATAACAGGCTAAAAATTTGGTTAGAAAAATTATTGATCTTTCCAACGGTGTATCACATATGTTCTTTCACGTGTGAATTATTGTTAAATTGAATTGTTGCCACTAATTTAAATATGTTCGTAAAATGTTTTATTGCTTTCGAGGAAAGGGCCATTCAGCAGTATTTGAGGCCAACAACTACTTTTCGAAAATCTTATCGCTGTTTTAAATATGTCAACATTTTGAATCTTTGAAAATGCTTTCCAGAGAGCCTTTAATACATTCAGTTGTACTATTGGATGAACCTCGGAATACACCGGTATATGAATCTTTATAAGAATTAACTTAAACACGACAAGGCCATGTTAATAAAATTGAGGTAATTGTACAATAGTGTGGATATGTCGACTGTTATATATCATTTGCAGGATATGGAAGTAATGAAAGAAAGTATTAAAGATAATGACGAAGGTATCAAGCAACTAACTGAGATCATGCTCGGAATGACAAATTATATCGAATTAAGAATGAATGGTCTTGCTGATATGCTTCATAAGATCTTATCAATAGTAATGAATACAGATGTTTCGACTACGAAACCTTACTCAGAGAAAGGTATTAAATTATTGTTTGCCAGAATGACAGATAAAGTCGAATCAGAAATGTTTGAGCTTAAATATATGCTTCGCAATTTCTTATCAAAAGAAATGAATACATATGTTTCGACTAGGCAACCTTACGACGTGCCTATCTCAGATTTAGCCACTAAGTCAGATGTTGAATCATTGTTTACAGAATTAAGAGAGTTTAAAATAAGTTCTTTGTCTTCGCTATCTGACAAATTACATGAATTCGAAAAAAACGTTTAGTGAAAAGCAAGACATGATGATGAATAATACTTGTACTATGTATTTCGATAATTGTGAGGCCCTAACAAAAGGTGAACTAACTGAAAGTTTGAAATTGCTCACTGACATGTTTGCAAAAGGTGATGAGAAAGAAACACCAGAAACCTCAGTGGAATATGTACAGTCAAATTCTAATGAATTCTGAAACAATATTGAAGGAAGTTACCAAAGGTCATTATTTGATATCAGACAGTTTGTCACCTATTACATTTCGACAAATAGATTCAAACAACACGATCGCTAGAAGCTGTTACAACGTTGTCTTTGCAGGCAATAAATGTTGCAATATAAGTGCACAACCAGGTAATGGGGCAACCTTTCTATGGAGGAATTAAGAATATCCATTATCTTTGCAGCGAATTTGGTTTTTAATACTTAATTTCTTCACTTAGTCCTTTTCAAATATGTTTTCAAAAGTTTGTTTAATTCACTATTTTCTTTTCATTTTTTTTCAACTTAGTCTGGTAAAATTATACAAAACATATCGTTTAGTAATATGTTCGTTGTAACTTCATATTTAAATATTGAACATATTCTTGTACTCACTGAGACTCAATATTTCTTTTTCAGTCACGACGTTGGTGTTTTTGTTGATTTCGAAGTGTTTATGGGGCTTATGAAGCATCCGTTATGTTTGATAAAACGGACAACACAACAAACAAAATCGAAATCAAGCTCAGTGAAAAGAACTTATTAAATATTAATATAATGTGAAATGTTGTGTTTTTGGTCAGTTTTTGAATATTATTGTTATAATGTATATATTTATAGGGACGTTTATTTTCATTCGTATTATGTAGCTTGTTAAATACCCTATCATTTCTCATATATTGTATATAAAGATGCTTTTATATTTAAATGGTGTCAAGGTCGCAATCGATGCTTCATTGAAGGAACGTCGCTGAACGACCAAAAACCTAAAACATAAATATTAAATGAATTTCTTACATAGTCCAGCTGGTGAACTTAAGAACGAAAAATCGTCAATGGACTAGTACAATTATTGTTTCAATGCAGCAATTGAGAAGCTCCGCGCAAAAAATGCGTTCATTACACCCTTACAAATTATTCATACAGGTCATTTTCTATTTAGATTAAGTACTATTTATTGTATATTATTCTGGATGTTTTGTAAATCATTTAAATTTGCATAATTATATTTATCGTATGCACTGTCCATGGGACCATGAGAGATATTACATTTTAAAAAATATGCTTTCACTGATGCCTACCTGATAAGGAAAGTAATTCCAATATAAAAATGACATGCAAGACTTGTAATGTGACATGACAGCAGTGCAACATTGTTTTGTTTGTGTCACTACTGTAGTCAGTAATATTAGATGGTAAAAAAAAATCAAAGCATGTACATTTTCTTTTTCACTTACAATGCTACTCATTTTCTACAAGTATCACACCTAATCGTGGTAAGAAATAAAAAATCCATATGTAAATAAGCAAAAACAAAAACTTTAATCGACTTTATTTTTTCAAAAGGTCTGTTACATGTTTCATAATATATAACAAGAAAAGCATTGATACAAAGCATCAAAGGAGGGCGTCCAAGCAAGAAAGCAATTGACGATGAACTAAGAGACATCTGATGTCTATATTTTCGTTTCAATGGTTAATTGGATTTAACCAGAATTGTATATCATAGATGAATGAACGGACGAAAGACATTGTTCATCATGAACTTTGGTAGGCTTGCTAGAGATTAGAATATTAAATGTATTTTCTTTGGAACATACAAAACAGTAGTCAAAATAAACACAGTCTGATCTATTTTATTATTATACCTGTAACAAATGTACAAACAGTATATAAAAATAGTAACAAAGGGACTAATATAGTATTATTACATGCATATTTTTCAGATCAAATTTAAAAAAAATGGTTTCTATTAACACCTGGGACTTAAGATACAGTAGTTATATTTCAAGTCCCAGATAATTACTGAAAGTAAAACACACACTGGAATGAAAAATTTGGAAGACCAATTACGGGATTTTTTTGTTAAACGCAATAATAAAAAAAAAATGGTACAATAAAAATTATGAATAAATTTGCATGGCAAGTTGATATGTTGAAACATTATTTATCAATATAATGGAAGACTGTCACCCGAATTTTGGACCTATTGTTAACTGATTTTTTGGGAGATCAATCTGTCAAAAATTCGGGAAATCAGGGTCGATTTAAATATCCACTCTAAAAAAATGTCAGAAGAACAATCAGGGGAGCTATTAATTTACCGGAAAGTATCTACGGAATAGATAATACTATGATATAACAATTCGTAAAAATGGCCTACTTTTTTTCGATAAATATAAATATGTAGTGTTGAATATGTTTGCATTTCATTTCCTGCAAAATTCTCCAAATCGTTAATTAATACCATAGCGCGACACGAATGACCGTTTAGTTTCAGATGCGCTAAATTAGAACTATTTCTTGAAATAGATTTTCGGGAAGTTTGTTCCCGTTCTAATTCATCAATATGACATGCTGCGAATTACCGAAGGGGAAACCAATATATGACTTTACATAATAGAAATCGGAAGGAATTCTGCTTTCCGAATTTATTTTTAGCTATAAATCGAAGGGAATAATTGATAAAAATCGGGTCCATGGACAAAAAAATAGTAAACAAATAGCTCTGCGTCTATGGGCGCCAAGCAATAATCAGGTTATATTTGCAGAAATAAATTGAAAATCGTATTTTTAGTGAAATTCTTAGTCCGATTTGAATGAAAAGCAAAGCAACGTTTTTCTTATTTTGTATCATTTCTTCAATTAAAATAAGTTTATCCGAATCTTTGAAACAAACATGTCAAACGAAACTCAGTGAAGACCCTTTAAGACGGTTTTAAAGACTTGCTATCATTGTAGTCAATTACACTCAACTAAAATATTTTTATTACAGTTTAAAAGGCTTCTGGCCAAAAATACACATTAGTAAAGGTACAATATGATATTCATGTATTAAATAAATGTAGTTGTAAATACAAATAATTATTATAAAATTTTATATTCAAGTGTTCGTTCTTTTCAACGAATGAAACACAATTACAGACTACTTTACAAATGGTTTCTTCATGTTGTGAGTTTATCAGAAAATAAAAATCATTCATTGCTGTTTTACTAATTGTAGAGATAATTAGTTTGAATATCATAATACTAAGAACATAGAAAAGGTAACAATCAAGAGCAGGCAGATTATTTTGGTTTGAACCACCTGAACATATTCTTTCATGAAATTATTGTGTCTTCCCATATGCATTTCAATCGTTAATTTATGACAGGAATATCGAATCCTTGCAAAAGCAACCACGCATTTTTAGGAATATCACAACAAAGATAACGCTCAGGGTTTAATTGATTCTTGAAAAATTGAAAACGGTAACAACGGGACGCAATATTTATATCATTATGATATTTTGTTTAAAAAATCTTTCATTCTTGACGAAGGGCTAAAAGAAAAATGTCTTTTTTCCAACATCTTGTGCAATCCATACATTTCCAAAACCTTAAGTTTTAACTAGTGATTTACTTAAGAGTCCCAAAAATAATTCAACCTATCTCGTTCAAGGATTTTTTCACAGTTTGTAATATCTATAATATGGAAACAACTTACCCCGTTTTTTATACAATTAACAAAACATATTATACATAATGGCAAACATACACATTTATTTATAACATGCATTATATTTCTTTTAAAACATAAATGCTTTTTAACTGCCTTGAATTAACAAATCAATTTTCCCATATCTGGCACCAAAAGCAAAGAATAGTATAACCACATTATCAAACAGAATGAACAGTTCATTAGTCGGAAAATAATCATAAGCTTCTTTGAATTATACACAGAAAGTTTTGCATGTTCGGTTCGGCGTGTGTACATAATTCATTCTGTGCTGAACTCTATGATAGCCAAGGCGTAAATAAAGATCCCATTTATTTGTTTACGGGTGTAAACTTGTCTAAACTCAGAAATCCAATTCCCATACTGTTTGAGAGATCCTCTATATCTAAAAACCATTATCTTAGCTTTATTTAGATTTATTTCCGTCTCAGTATTTTTTATAAAATTCATCGACAACATTTAGTTGATGTTATCTTATTGCTGTTTCAACACAACTTGCTACATCATCAGCACAGATATCGTGAATTTTGTGCGTAATAAGTATCTCAGAATTATATATATGCGAGGCATTATGCTAATTCATTAACAAAGGGCAGAAACTGTATCCCTGTCGGGTTCCTATATTACATTTGAAAGATTCAGAAATCGTAGGCCTATTTAGAAATGGTTTGTGCATTTAAATCACAGCACACATCATTTACGCTTGCATAGAGCTAATTATACACTTTATTTTATAAAAACACTAAATCTTCCATTTGCTCCTATGCTTTGTAAAGCTTGAAAAAGTATCTGATGATTAATCATATCGAAGGCCTTGCAAATAACCATGTAGAAGCCTCGAAATATATGACCAGTTTAGAAAAACATTTTTGCGCCATAACTTGAAGTAAAACAAATAATTGCCGGATATCCAGACCGAAAACCTGCCTGTGGTTCATCAAAATAATTGTTATTTTCCCCAATTTATACGTCAAGCGTTTATCACCGATGCTTGAAAATATTTTATATAGTGTAATAATGTGAGGAATTCCTCGAGAATAACTCGGGTTACAGGTTGATCCAGCCTTATGTTTATGACATATTATGCTCAGGCCCAAAGATTGAGGGAATCCACTTGTTTCAAACATTCAATTAAAAAAATCTTCGTTCATGTCGTTCCTCTTATACTTCATGAAGGCTGCATATCTTTCTTATGTCCTCCTTAAAACATTAAAATTGCATTTAGTTAAAACATTAACTAATATTATAATGTGTCTGATGTCGTTTTAGATTGTGTATTATTAGTCCTTCAATTTGTAACAAATATGTCAACATACTTAAGAAAATGAGAAAAGCATCAAACTTTGCATAGATGTGCATTAAGACAAAATAAATGTTTTGGGCATATGACTCATTCGTTAATATGCCAATTTGGCTGAAATTATAATATGTCCTTTATACTATAACCATCCAATAGAAGGCTTGTATTTTAACAGTAGCACAAATAATGCACCTTTATAGTGATAAAGTGTTATAATCTTTTAATGATAATAAACACTAGTAAACATTGTGTTATCATTTATTCATTTTCTTTTTCCACTTCAACTGCTAAAATGAAATGATAAAGTCTGTATTTAGTTATGCACCGAAATAATGAATCATCATTATTATTTTATCTCATTTCCTACTATTTTTATTTCTTTTTATTTGATATCAAGAATATTAAAGACTCATAAACTAATGCGATTCATTCTTGCAACTCATAAATCTTGTGTAGTACCTCTTATGTATTCAGTCCTTTAAGTGTGTAAAGCTATATATCTGATAATTGCAGTTTAAAAATTATTTTTGAATTTTAAAAAAGTATCATTCCAAAAACAAACAACTATATGAGTTTGTACATTTTCTGAACAAAAGGTACGTACTCGCAATCTTTGCTGAAAAATTGAAACGCAACTTAAAAGCTGCACGATATTTTTCCAGTTCATTTCTATTCTGTTTATGTTAAATATTTACGTGTGTTTCGTGAATGAGAAATTCTAATATAAAGCTCTTTTGAGAATCGACAAAAAGAGTATTATCATTACATCACATAATTTTAATATCTAAAATGTTTTATTAAGATACTTTATTAGATACAGCTTTATACCCTTGTAAGCTACTATCCCGTATATGTAGTTTGGGCATTTATGAAATTAAATGCCATCAAAAGATAACATTTGACCACAGGCTCGTGCATTTATATGGAACAAGATGATTAATGCATGTATTGTGTGAAGAAAAATAATCAAAAACAAACTTTTGCTTTGTTTATGATGCTTTTATTTTAAACCGTTGCAACGTTTTATTTTGTAAATATACACTTATAATTTATACACTTATCCGTTATCTGGTTGCAAGTAGATACGTTGGTTGCGGTTATCCAGTTAAAAAGTGATATTTTTATTATACTCGCAATATGTTCATGGGTGTGAGTGAAACATAACAACCGTTTGGTGACAGTTATCTCGTGAAAACTGCAAGTTTACTTTTATGTATTTTTAATAACGTAAACAAATATCTTGATGTTTTAACCCCGTTTTGTGTGGGAGAGTAGCTTCAAGACTTTAAGTAGTTTGCAAAATATTTAAAATATAAAAGGAAGGTAAACGATGAATGCTTCTGAATTTGTTGACATGAAATGTAGTTCAAATAAATGAATATGCTCCACAGTAACTGTAAAATCTAGATAATTCTTGTAGTAAACACTGGTCAGATGCTAGTATATTTAACTTTAAAATCTTGAACTGGAGTATCATTTTGGAAATTTTGTTAAAGTAACAGAGGTTATATAAAAAATTAAATTTTATTTGTTTACTAGTTCATAACTGTATACGATAAAGTTGGAAAAAATATATTGGTAAGTCAATGTAACAATAATAGTTGATTGGCAGGGGAAAAAATGTTTTATGGTAAATCTGTTGAATCACATACTTTTCTATTTGAAAGAAGAGTTAATGATAGTATAATGAAATGTGATGTTTAATAAATACTTACCGCCCGATCAGCCTTTATTATCAGAATGCACCCTTGTTTTGAGCTCATCTAAAAATGGTGCTTTTGGAAACAGTAATGCTCCATTTTGTTTGGCCGTTGTTTCTAAAAGATATATTTATAACAACGTTATATTTGTTTGTTTTGCATTAACTAAGATTTCAAAACATTTTGGTAAAAACTTGCAATAAAATTTATTAAAAAGTCTTAGCGTTCATTTGACAGTATAAGCTTATTTAACAGATTCTAAAATGTCACTATTTACCATTATGTTCATTGGCTTAAAATCCAGATTTTGTGTGCTTACAAAAGCAGGTAAAATGTGCAGTGTGTTTTTGAATTTCATTTTTGAATTTTTTTTTATAAAAGTGTAGTAAAATGAATATCATTTTTACTCATAACGAAAAGCTATATAATAAAAGGTAAATTATGTTGTAGTAGCTTTCTGTGGCTATGCATTTTTCTATTCGGTTCCGCCGCTGCTCGAAGCAAAATACAAAGCCCCAGAAAGCTACTACAACATGATATTCCGTATAATTCCGTATTATTCAGAAAATGTAATGTATCTGTCAAGAAATAAATTCATCACTGACGGATGAATATGTAATTTTTGCAATACTGGCCACGCCTTTTATAAGTTTGGTTCCCGTTTCCAAATGCTACGTTATACACAGCTCGGAAGATCAGAACCAACGGCAAAAATAGTCCGACACTTCCATATATGGTACCGTATTTGTAACTATAATAATACGGAATTTTCTATCCATTGAAGTGTATTTGCGCTTCAAGATTTGCGTGTATTTTAGGAACAAAATTTATATGTATATAATAAAACAAGTTAAGGCACAAAATAAAGCCTGGACGGTTTTTTGTATTTGTTTTCTCTTTGTTTTTTCAAGGCGAGAAAAAACCAAAAAGTCACGTTAATGCACCGTGTTCCGTGTAATCCTAAATGATGTGTATTTAGTCGTTAAAATAATTTAATTGTGAAAATGTAATTCAATTGTGAATTTGATGTAATTTGATTGTGAAAATCAAATTGCTGAGAGTTTGTCATAAATTAACATTGCCGCGACATGTTTTTAAAGGTAATGTTATGAGTGTGACTTTGATTTTTTTCTTTGTCAGGTCTATATAAAAGATCATTTGTCTACCGCTAGATGAGAACAATATGATTTGAGAAAGATATTTAATTAGAAAAAAATAATTTATAAGTCTAACGTTATTCAGCATTATCATTATATTAAATGCTCATTAGAGACATAAACACTGACTGGCCATTTCGTTTCATACCATTATGGCGTTCCGTTTCACTTTTGTGTGAATGTGCTGTTTTCTTTTTGCTGTCATTCTCATGAACTAAATGCGTGTCACAGTGAGAGTCACTTGGTGCTGACACGGAACAAAATGACGAAGCTATTGAATGTTTTCGATCTCCTGCTAATAGGCCTTGTATTTAACAAGAAGGAAATAAAACATATGTTAACATTAACAAGTTTATGATAATCCGTGGCATGTTTATATGAATTGAACAAATTCTGATGAAAAAAAATCAGCGACAATCAATTGTAATGAAATTTAGGAAAAAATCAAATTTTTTATTTTGCTGCTTTTAATATGAAACAATTCTATGTTGTCTTCCATATGCCTAAGCGAACATGAAAAAAACCTGGTGAACAAATTGAGTGTTTGATTTACATCACTGCAATTGTACGAAATTTGGTGCATAGTATACATCTCATAGAAACAAGCAAAGCCATGTATCAATTAAGCCTAAACGTAGTGTATATGAAAACATATGTACGTATATATTCATAGCTAAGATTTTGTAAGCTCTGATTTTGTCTTACCCTTTAATGAAGGGCTTACGTCTTCATAATCGTCATCTGTGTCTGCGGAGTCTAATACATGTTGTTGCCCCTTCATGTGTATAACACCCGCTTCTTCCTTCATTCCTTTTATAGAAAAATTCTTGCTTTAACCCAATGAAGAATAATCGGTTCAACCAATAATTCTTATTTCATTTAGTAAACTTTAACACAGTTACCGCACATACAGTATATACTGCCTGAAGTGTGATTACGATTACCCCTGTTTAAATCAAACATTATGTGTAACTAATTGATCATAATTATAGACCATATGAAACATATAGTATCTAAGTTTATCTTTTATGTACCTATAAATTGAGGACAATAATTTCGATATTTAATGTTTAAATTTTACAGAACATGTATTGATAAATAACTCAATTTCAAACTTAACTTATTTCAATTCATTCAATTTACCGATCACCAAATTCGTCTCTGCGCTTTGACTTTGTTTATAACAGTGATAATTAGTCTTTCGTCATCATGCAAAACTGCTCTTGATTACATTTTGGCATATTTAAGTTTTCTACGAGCAATATCTGTAAAACTATGTAAATGCAATGACAGTCATCTGCTCGAAGGATAAGTAAATAACATAGCGTTCGTAAGACAGCCTTTTAAAAAATCAATGTTTTCCAAATTTCAAGTCACTTCTTGAATGTGTACAAATACAAATATGTCAACAATACATTATTGTCTGAAATAATCCTAGAATACGTATTTTTTCTTATGATAGATGTTAAAAAGATGCAATCCCTTCGAATCAAACACATTTTACCATTTCAACAATTTTTAAAAATGGCGGACGTGATAGAGACTATTATATCAGTTATATTGGTGTAAAAACAGATTTAGATTAACCATCTAGAAATGTTTGTTTAAATGATTAAAACGAGGCATCATTCATATTTGTTGTTTAGAATAAATAATATCATCGCCATTTAACTTTGATTTATAAACTTATATTTATGCTGAAGACTTCCTGTAAATGTGAGAAATTCGTCCGAAATTGAAGCCTAGGGGGGGGGGGAAATTGTTTATATACAAGTATATATTCAGGAAATTTCATTTAAATTTCAGCATCTAATACAAAAAAATATTGCTTGTTTGCTGTGTAAGATGTAATTTTATTTCGAACATAAAAAACAGTATTTTCTGTCACTCGTATGAATATTGTTGTTACGGGATGGAATAAAATTACATCTTAAGCTATGTTCTCACCGCCGATCAGATCAAGTCGATTGTCCCGATCACATTAATTCCCCGATGAAGCCCGACCAAGCTGGATCAAATGCAAATTCACGACCCCAACACGACCTCAAGTCGACCATGTTTACGACTTCTTCTCGACGACAACCCAACCAACATCCCGACATCTTTTTCGATCACCCTGACCTATACGCGAGTCATACATGATCTCTACTAGACTAACAGGACCTCTGATCGATCGTTGCCAGATTTCCACCCGACCAGATCGGATAATACTCGAGTAGAAGTCGAGATAATCGTGCACAAATCAGGTAAGAGATGTATACCCGATGTAAACCCGACCAAACTAGATCGTTACACGATTTATTCTCGATCAACTAGATATTCTACTCGATCACTATACGATCGCTTCTCGACGTCTTATCTGCTCGATCTCTACTCGAATTTTTTCGACATGTCAAAAAAATTCGGGAAAGAAGCCCGAGCCATGCCGACCAAGGTAGACCGCTCCGACCACCCTCGATCACGCATGCAGACCGAGCTAGACCGGTACCCGATCGCTTGATTGTGCTTGATCGATTTTATCTGATCGGAGGTGAGAGCATTACACACAAACAAACACATATCTTCTGTCATGAATTTACAACTGAACAGTTTCTTACCATGGTGTATATTGCCAAACCGTCTTTGATCAACTTCATCGTACGCTTTATCATCAGTTCCAATTCTTGTTTCTTTGTCAACATCTATATCGACGTAAGAATGATTGTCATGTGATGAATTCGTATTTAACATTTAATATATATTCGATATTCTAAAACATATCTTGTTAAAAGTTGCTAAAAAAATGAAAATTTTCTTTTTCTATCATAAATAAATACAACATAGATACATTTTTCGCCTCACATTTAGCGGGTTCCTTGGTCCGAACCATTTGAAATTTTTCAAGGACCACCTTAATTTTAAAAAACCCATGGTCTCCCTTGAAGTGAAATGATATTAACTGATACTATGTTTTTACAAAATGAAAAGCAGTGGTTACAAAATGGCACTATTTACCCGATAAAAGGCTTATTTTTCACAACTATGTATCAAAATGACTGCAACACTTTGTTTTAAAGTTTTAATACAATATTATATCTGAAGGTACAAATAACATGATGTTGTGTATCATAAATGTCGTAAAATTATATGATAATAATTTGCGCTAAATCAATAATATTTCAACTAAAACAGAGAGTTTTTTTTATTTTCCCGACCCTGGCATTTAATATTTGAACCTCTTTGCCACTTATAAACTTTTAAGAAATAACTTTTATACACTGACTGTAAAGATATTTCTTATGCTTGTAAATGGTATAAATTATGTTCTTGCATGAGACGAATTCGCTATAACAAATCAATTAAAAACTTTCGGTATGACAAAATATATCCGTAATGCCATAATGACTAATATGTATCATATAGTTTGTTATCAGAATTAAAGATATTACAAAATTACTTACCGATTTCTATTGCGGGTACTGTTCCTGCGCTTCCGTATCCGCTATCACTAAAATATAATATAGCATTTAGTATTTAGTTCTTTAAAATATTTGATACTTTATAAGGAAACTGTTTACTTGGTCATATCTAATTTCTTCACCAACAATCTTTTTATTTTGATTTATTGAATTATGATAATCTACACAAAAGCATTTTCTTTAACAAGATTCGTAATAATAGACAGAACGAAATCAAGAAAAAAGCTGCCTACCATGATTGACGAAAGTGGGACTTCACTTCCGAAATTCTGCGGTTTAATTCGTCAACCCATTTCTGTTACAAAAAATACAACAGTAATACTTGATTTTATATATTAAACTATCAGTTTTAGATTTGAAAAGAAACAAAAGGGTTATGTTATGATGGCCTTACTATCGCTCATCTGATTATAAAGGTTCATTCCCAATTTCCAGAATATTTTGACTGGAACCCCATAGAGTGTAAACAATGTTATTTTTTCATTTTGGGCAGTGTGGCTTAGTTTTTGACCCATGTTACCTATAATCAAACTTGAGCGAGAAATCATCAAAACAACCTTTCTGATTTGCAGGATATTTGGATCAAAACAGTAGCCTGAAGAAGTTTAACCAGATGGTTTTTGACCCCAGGTAACCCATTTCGAATTTGGCCTCAAAAACATCATAACTTTTCTTACTAATTACCAGAGACATTGCATTGAAAAAGTAGCCCCAAGTGTGTTAACAACGTTTTTTCCATATTTGGGCTGTGTGACCTAATTTTTGACCACAGATAATCCATATTCGAACTTGACCTAGAAATCATCAATACAACATTTCTTTCCAATTTCCAGGATACTTGCATCAAGCCAGTAGCCTCTAGAATGTTAACAAGGTTTTTCCATTATTTGGGCAGTGTGGCCTAGTTTTTAACCCCTATTGACCCGTATTCAAACTCGACATAGACATCATAAAAACAATCTTTGACCAAATTGTAGGATATTTGAATCAAAACTGTGGCCTGTAGACATTTAACAAGGTGATTCCATAATTGGGATGTGTGACTTAGGATATTTCGATCACAGCAGTGACCACTAGAGTGTAAACAATGTTCTCAGTATTTAGGCAGTCTGGCCTAGTTTTTGACACCAAGTTACACATTTTTGAACTTGACCTAGAAGTCAACAAAACAATCTAGCTGACCCATTTCTAAATATTTTAATCAAAACAACAGTCCTAAGTGTGTTAACAAGGTTTTGTTCTCTTTTTGGGCTGTGTGACCTAGTTTGTGACAAGAGATGAGCTAGAAATCAACAATACAACCTTTCTGACCAATTTTCTAAATATTGAAATCAAAACAGTACCCTCAAGGGTTTTAACAAGTTTTTTTTTCATATTTGGACTATGTGACCTAGTTATTGACCAAAGGAGACCCATATTAAAGCTTGACTTAGAAATCATAAAAAAAAAACTTCAGGCAAAATTTCATGATATTTGGTCCAAAACAGTAGCCTCTTGAGTGTTTACGTAAAGGTTTCCATATTTTGGCTGTGTGGCCGAGCTTTAGACCCTAAGTGACCCATATTCGAACTTGACCTAGAAATCATTAAAACAATCTGACAATTTCCATGATATTTGGACTGGAACAGTAGCCCCTAGTGTGTAAACAAGGTTTTTCTATATTTGGACGTTGTGACCTGATTCAAACTTGACCTAGAAATCATCAAAGCAACCTTTCTGACCAATTTAAGGATATTTGGATATTGTAAGATACTGTTAATAAAATACTTCTAGGACCTTGTAATGTTATCAGTTAAAACAAATTATATTTTATGACAATATGAATATCAAACTAGGATAATTATTGACTAATGAGGTAATAATGCTCAGGCAATGCTTAACACTTACCTGTCAGGATTTCTGAACTTGCCTCAGCCATTCATTAATATTTGCTGATTTTATTGTTAAGATAATTTTCTGGTAAATGAAGGAATTAAGACCATGATATAGGACATTCTGAGGTTCTAGGACGATATAAGGCAGTATTAAGGAGGTTAATACTTTAAGAAATGATTTATTTATTTACTTTGTTTATCCTGGCATCAAAATGGCTGTTGAGAGTTGTCTAACTTGATTCAAAACATTAGATGCATCTATTTTCATAAACATATACAAATACTTATTATTTTACATGAACGAACATAGAATGTTATCCTTATTTACTTAAGATTTAAGTTACTTTCCAAATAGTTAGCCGGCATTGCTGTATTTCATAATTATCTTGATGACCAGTATGACCTCTAAGTTTGTCAGGAGGGGAAATTCAAATTCCTGGCACTGGAATCTTTTTTATATCTGATTCAATAGTTCATTTTTCATAAGCTAGAAACATGATTATGTTTGGTCCAGACATTTAGTACAAGGAGTTAAGCATGTAATTCAAGTGTTCATTGCATATTTTGTTATTTGTTTACCATGTAAATTTACATTTTTCTAAATTTTTCCTGTCAAGATGGCTGCCATTTTTAGAAATTCCTGTCTTTTCAGCCAGACTTCCAGGGCAAATGGAATGTTATGATAGGTCAATTGTGACAGTCCCGGCCATTTCAGAGTCTATATAAGTAGCCATGACAGGTTATTTACAGCTTGCATTTTGGCTTTAAATCCTGACAGTCGCGAAAACTAGTGACAAGAGCATTTTGTAATATTTTCATGGAAACTTGTATTGTTGAATCTAGCAAATTTAGTGCTCTTCAGAGTTAGATAAAGAAATTGTTGAATTAACTTTATATCAATAAAAGTTTGAACAGTTTTTGACTTAGCTTACAATATAAACAATAGCCTCAAGAGTGTTTACGAGGTTTTTACATATTTGGGCTGGGTGACCTAGGTTTTTACTACAGATGACCCATATTCGAATCTGACCGGAAATCATCAAAACAACCTGCTGGCCAATTTTCAAGATATTCTGACTGAAACAATAGCCACTTGGGTGTTAAAAACGTGTTTCCATAAATGTGTTGTGTGACCTAGGTGACCCGTAATCAAATCTGACTGAGAAATCATCAAACCAACCTTTCTGATCAATTTACAGGATATTTAGATCATAACAGTAACCACTAGAGTGCCAACAAGATTGTTCTATTTAAACTCTATTTTGACTACATTTTTTATCCGAGATGACCTATATTCAAACCTGACATGTATTTCATTGAGACAAACATTCTGTCAAAGTTTGATTAAGATCCAAGCAAAAGCTGTGACTTTATGGCCAGGTGACCTCAAAAGCCAAATAAAACGTCATTAAGCAACATTCCTTTTTAATAAAACGAGCATTTCATCCATGATTGAACTTCATACTCGTGCATGTATATCATCTAAGATAGTTGGGAAAAAAGAAAATAAAACGAATCAACACATTTACAATAATTTATATGTAAACAATGCAATTCTTCATTTGATGATTTTAATGATAAAGTAAACAAAGACCGTAAATACTTCGTTTTTCAAGGGTTTTCAATGTAGATGATTTATGAATATATTCATAACAGTTGTCAATTGTTACTTTCTTAAATCTGTCGCGCGTCACCTAGGTATCTATTTTAAAGATCCTGAAACATTTCATAAACGCTTAATAGAAGAAAAGAATAGTACTTTTGTATGTGTTAAAGATGGTCTTCAAATGAATAACAAAAACAAGTTGATGGTCAGAATGTAATTAAATACATAGTGATCTTCGGAAAACCCTGACGGTATTACTAAGTGTGGTAACAATTGAATATTTAAATTAATGGAGGTCATGTGACACGCGCTCAAACTGCTTGTAAGCAAACTTGGCGGAAAGGAAGAAACCACATACAACAGGAAGGTTAATCTTAAGAACGTTAAACAAAAGTAAAAGTATAAAAATAACCTTCTTTGCTTCATAAGCTGGTTTCTTGGGCATATATTTTTGTTTTTCTCTACTTATAGGATGGGTAACGTGACAGATCATGTGTTGCTTTTGACATATCATTGTGTTATATTTAGAAAACCCCAGTCAGCGTTGAAGATTTTTCACCATTTTATTTTCTTTTTTATTTACCAATTGTTACTTTTTCCCCGTAAAATGATCGCGTTTACCCTTTACCTTTCTGACGTTTTTCATAAATTATTTACATAACATACAGGATCTTTAATTTGAATTTGTTCTGGAAGGCTGAGCTAGAAGTCGAATCTAATGGAATGAACATGATAACAATATAAAAGGTATTGTGTTTATACTTTTTGTGATTCTTCTGTATCACAGCAAAAATGTAGAGGTGGCTGTTCATCATTGTAACCAAGATAAAAGCAAATTTCTCCATTGTGTTCCTCTGTTGACTCCCAAGCGCTAAAAATCGTAAGTAGTTAAAATAGTGTTTTCAAACAACAAATTAATTTCTACACTTGTATGTATATTTCATATTTTCATATAACGTTTTAAAAAAAATTTTTTTTTGCTAGATCTTGATTTACATATTGCTAAGCTAGAATCAACGTGCAGATGATAGTTTAATTATCTTACACCGTATAAGTTGTTCAGTATTTTAATCGGCCATCAGCACTTGTAATGACTAAATACGTTATTTTTAGATACATCGTTTCATATTATTCTCAAATAAAGAAAATTAAGATGGAAAATGAAATATTGGTACGGTAAATTACATAAATAGTAAGGAAATAAAAATAAGATAACATTTTTTTCTACTGGCCGGCTTCCTATATTTAAATAAGTATATCGAAAGAATCTTTTCCCGATCTTCTATTTTTAGACACAAACGTCACTGACGTGTTATAAATAGCTCTCGGGACGCTGTTTTGAAGACGGTTTAACAGTGACATGACGCACTGATCCATGCTAACATTGTTTGAAACAAAAAAGAATTGTTTTCCCAACAAAAGGCCGCTTTAAAGTTAAGTCTACCAGGACTGAAAGATAATATATCAAGTAAGAAATAAAAGGTAACTCTTACCTTTTAAATTCTTTTAAAGACTGTTTCTGGAATGCTTTATGTGATCGCCAGTTTTCATACAAGTAAACACAACCCTGTGATACAATACAATAGCAGCTTTTCCCTGTAAATGATAAGAATCAAATCCAGAAAACCATTTGTACGCTCGTTTCATTTGAGGCTTACAATGTCATTCTATATTTCGAGTGCCCACTCTTAAAGTATTTTGTTAGTGATTTTCCATTGCAGGGCAAAGGCAAAAGTAGATCATGACGAAACACCCAATATTATGGAAATATTTATTTGAGGGCGAGATGGGAGGCATTTTATTCATAGACACTGTCCTTATTAACACTTGAGAAATGACTTGAAAGATATGAAAACAGCTTAACCCGTCGTGTTTTGATTTTTTGAAACTATATGTCGGTTAATTCCTTATTATGAAAAATGTTAGGATTTGCTGGTAAAATATCTGATGACTTAGTCAAACAAAATGCACCTAGATTCTTTGACTGTGTCTGGTAGTATTTGACTAGAACACTGGTGATGGGCCTTAGAAACGTTCAAAACATTTAATAGACACACATTTAGACAACCTGCTGTTTAAAATATAAGACCTAAATTAACGAGACATATAAAATGTTAAGAGATTATCTTACGAACATTATTTAGGCCGATACTCACAATGATGCTTTTTCTGTGAAATCATCAAAGTCCCCTTCCATGAATATTCTACTGCAGCTAACAACTCATATGCAGCTGGAGATGAAATTTGAAAAGTTTTTTCTGAAAGATTAGTCATCCCTTAATCGTCTGATTTTATATATTGCATTTGCCTAACTTAGAATTCGAATCTTAAGGGAATTTACGGTGGCCGGTTGCGGCCATTTTAAACCAGCGAGAAATATTATCGTTTTATCATAATATGTCTCAGGCAACTTACAAATCCGCGAGAATTTCTGCCGAAAAAATACAAAATGTCGCGGGGAACGTTTAAACCTCGATATTCTATAACAGTTGTTGGAAACAGCAAGGAACATTTTGATTTCAATGGCCGGTAGCATCCATTGTTTGATTATATATCTTATTCCTCGTCGTTTGTCTATAAAAACCCGAGGAAAAGAAAGAAATCCGCGACATTTTCTGCAAGTGTTGTAGAAATTCTACAAAAAAGTCGAGGGGAATAATTAAAGGCCGCGACTTTTTGTTCCTCAAAACGTCACGGCTAAAATGTCGAGGATTTTTTAACGGCGACTTTTGTAAGAAATCCGTGACTTTTTAGCCGCGACTTTTTGCGAAAAGACATTTTCCAACACAAAAGAAGGTGAGGATGAATGCTCAAACTCTACGTTTTACAAGGTATGCATCATAACAAATCATCGCGGATTATAATGGCGGCAATCAGCAACCTAAAGCCTGCAGATGTTGACGTGGCTTAATCTACTATGTAGACAGAAAATGTCACGAATTCCTCAGTAAAATCAACTTTTTCCGACAAAAGAGTGACAGAAAAATTCGACAGTTTCTATAAACCGTGACATTTTATACAATTTCGACATAAGATCATTTACAAAATTCCAAGATACATAATCAAAGCTGTTACTAAATATACCCTTAAAAGTAGCATTTTTATTAATTTTAAATGACGGTGAAAAAACGAAATTGCGTGTGTGTCTATACTTGAAAAAAAAATCACAAAAAATACGTGATTTCTTTTACATTATTAACAATTTCTTGCCTTTGTCAAACCTATTACCTGAAATAAATTGCTGACTCAGTGCTAAGATTTTAGTATTAGTTAACAAAAGCGTATTTCTTGAAAGGTTTAACGTTTTTACCGAGATGTTGAAGATTCCGATTTCGATTGCTATATTGGTATAACGATTACCTAATTGGCGTCCGCGCCAAAGCGCGGCGCCCCTTATGGAATGAAATCAGATTTTGTGAAAGGGCAATTGCAACTTCTCGGGCTTTTTTGTCGGTCATAATAGCCATAAATTCCGATTGGTATGAGGGTGTTTGATTATTGAAGATATGTACAATGACACTGGCACCAGTCCTTATATAATCATAAAATAGATGAAATTATACCCATATAACACAAACTGCCCGAAATATTATCCGAAAAAAAATTCAGACACACCCCCGTATATACTGTCATATAGAAAATTATATATGACAGTATATACGGGAGTGTGTCTGAATTTATTTTGTTAACGATAATCAAATTAATTCGTCTGCGACTATGGCAGAATTAACAGCAACCAAGACAAAAACCTCATCATAAACAAAATGTATCTTTAAAATGGACAGCTAGCCGTAGCAAGTTCCGATAAACTCTTTTGTGTCATGTCTAAGGTATTTTGGCGTTACATGTTTTTCATCATAAAAAGAAATTATGTATGTTTAGAGCTCGATTTATCTGATTTTGATCTATTATATTAATATATATAAAAATATACGAACTTTGAACATTACACATACAAGAAAAAAATTTGGCTAATAATGATTCTAAATTGAATATGCAGTTTATTCATATTTTTATGTCGATCACTCCCACAAGTGCTGATAAATCTAGTTATGAGCTTATAGCGAACGATGAGTCAATAACAGTATTAAAACACCTGTATATGTCTATATTTTTCTGTTTCAAACTAAAAACTTCCGTGTCCCATATACTGGGTAAATATTTCATTAAATTTGAACAATCTAAATCTTGAAACCACCAGGAAATTAAATGAAATCCATTTTGAGTATTTAAAGTAATAAAATGTAGACAAAAGTTTTTACCTGTAGACGTGACAATAAAGTTACAAAAACACCGATAATATATCAAAATGAGGTATTATAAAATGCCGTCTTTTATATACATATCTTGAACATAGAGAGGCATGAATTATAATTATTTTGAATCCTTTTTTTCAATTGCAATACTTTATAGTATATGTAAGTTTATGTAAAATTATAATGATAGGTAAATTATCTAGAACAAAGTAAATGACTAACATTGCTGTTTATTGTTTAGATAACAAGAGGGCAATGGCAGCCCTAATATCTCTCATCAGAGTATGAAGGCTTAAAATGATCAGGGGCAATTTATAACTATAAAACGCATCTGTCTTAATACATAAAAAAATAAAATGACGCGTACTTTATTGTTGTTATCAGTCCCCATCGTGAATGGAAGCACTGTAACACAGAAAGTCCGCACAAACCAGACAGTACCAGACAGTGATATTCATTAAAGGAAAACACATGACCATCGGGAAAGGGCAATTTCGAACCCCACGGCTATGATTTGAACAAAGGTAGGCTCCATCTATACAATGTCTTATGCCAAAATCTTAGCTCTTGACCGTATGGTTTCAGGATTGAAAATGTTTTAATAGTTTTATGATATACATACATTTTATAACAAAACCCATGGCTTATGGGGCTGGGTTCTTTTGCCCAAATTTTATGAAAGGTCGAAAGACAATGTTTTTGTCAAATTTTAAAAAAGTTTTGGTTTTTTAGGTTCAGAGAGGGCATTCAAAGATTATTAATATAGTTTAAAAGGAAAAACCAGATGTTTATAAAAGGCATAATTTGAAGATTTTGAAGCCAAATATCGAAGCTTAGCTAAATTGTTTAAGAGTTTTAATTTTTTTTTAAAAATTGTATTTTTTTTAAATTTTCGAAAATTTTTTTGGGAGGATTTTCCAAAAACCCGGGGTTTGAAAAATTAGTTTTCCCAAAACCATAAATCCAAAAGATTTTCAAAAACCATTGTGAAAAATTTTTCAAGAGAAAAGGAAATACAATTCTTTATTGTCCCAAAAAATAAACAAAAGGTTTTCCCTTTGGTGTTTAAAAACCCCAAAAAAAAGGAAAAAATGTTAATTTAAAACAATTAGTTATGATTATACATATATATTAATTATATGAGTATGATAGTTTCTATTAACTATTTATATCGTGATAAATGTAATGAATACAATATACACACTCAGATACTTTGTACGTAACCATGAAATATCTCCTTGCCGACATGATTACCTCCTTCACGACAGAACGGTCTAACAGAATAAATATCCTAAATTTTCTTTAATAACTAATGCTTTGTTCTGATTTCAATTTTATTTGATTCATTGTCCTCATATCTACTTGAAACGTATTTGTTTTTAATCTGAATCGCTGTTTAGATGACAAATGGAGGAAAAATAATCTGCTTCATTATGAAACTGTCCATTTCAACGATAAATTCGCAAACTGGGAAACGCTGCCACAACAATATTTCAAACACAATTATAACAAATTTACATTTCCTGGAAATCTCAATAAAATCTTCATGACATAGCATTCACCGAATTCCGACATTTGATGTAGAGTTTACAAAATATATAAAAAATGATAACACTTGACACCTGATTTTAGCAACATGCACTAGGAAGTGGCGATATAGCAACTTTACCGAATACCTCCAAAAGAAATAGATCTATCGTTTACCAAGCGTGTTATCTGCGCATATAAGTTTAATATTCTTTTATCAGGATCATTTTTTATATATACATAAACATGTCATTTTTGTAACAAATTATCTTATTATAAGCTAAATGTAACATAACAAGATTTCCTGATTACACTAAAAAATTAATTCTTTGAAAATAAACGTATCATTATCAATTGTTTGATAGATATTTAATATAATCAATAATCTTACCTTTTTAATATTAAATTTAAATCTGTAATAAAATTAATAACTCACATTTCACCTGCTCTTCCTTTTGCTACTTTGTCTCAGTTAGTTGTTTCTATAAATACGCATTACGTAAGTACATAATACATGTTGTATGTAAACCCAATGTACATACTGGGTTTCAAACATATAATAACTCTTTTCAAAATAAATAGATTGCTACATAAAAAACTGACGTGTTAACATTAACTTCCTTCTATTCAATTCTACAAGGTAAAAAGGAAATTAAGATGTTTTTCTAACTTTTTCATAATAATGTATACATGTACATAGTTCCTTTATTTGCAGATTGAATCAAATTTTCTAGAATGTCATAAGTTAAAACTTTTTATGCTTCTTTTATCATTATTTTTTTCTTTGCTTTTGTCAATGTGACCAGAGAATTATTATGTTTGTAATTTTTGTATGTAATGAGATACTGTAAATGTATAACAGTTAGCGAAATAAATTTTCTCCTCCTCTTCATAATTTTAACTTTAGTTAACAACATTGAATTAAGCGCCAAAGTGATAAACACTGCTTTGAAAAGAGTATTTACAATTGTCTTTTAAAAAAGTTTTATATTATTTTTTTAATTTAATTTTTTATCAACTATGTATTTTTTCGAGTTTTATGACCTTAAAAAAAGAAAACTTAACAACAAATTTAATCATTCTTTTCCAAAATCGAGCAAGGAGGTGATGTTTAAATTGGACGAAAAGACGAGGAGGTATTTTAATGATTCTGATAATTTTTGATGATAATTTGTTTATTTTGATGATAGTGATAAATCGAGGATTTGAAAAATATGATTTTCATGATGACTAGAATTCTGATTCAAAATAAAAATATCATTTTGACTGATGATATTAAAGAATTTGGTGATGAGGGATCGTGATGATGAGTTTTATATGAATGATGATGATGTTGAATGATAAAATATGATAATATATCACAAATCAGCATATTATTTCTTAACTAGCAAGCCAGTTTTCCCAAAGTACATGTACACCTAAATAAAAATTATCTTTTAAAATCAGCTGGTTTTAAAAGATAACCGACCACCTACTTAAAATGCCAACCAA